GACTACCCAATCAATTTATTTGCTATAACAAAAAACATTCTGACCAAATCTTCACAGGGGAACCGGAAACATAGCACCCATTGATTCTCACACACTGATACATCATTGAATGGTATATTGTCTATTACTAGTATTAGGGATGCCACGATACATACATACATCGTTACTTTTTCTAAGACGATACAATTATCGATACATTCAAATCTGTATCGATATTTAGTTTTGAAAGTATCAGTTTAAATATGTTTATGTATCGTTTACATTTTGCAATTGTATCATGTTTTTTTATGTTATGATTATTTTTCATGCACAAAGATGGGAAATTGGAACTTTTTATTCTCTGAGAATCAAAAATGTTGATCTTTTCATGGATGATTAAGAAATATGAAATATTAATGTTTAAAATGTAACAAAATTTACGCAATAATGACGCAAAAATAGGTATCGTGATACATATCGAATCGTGACATGGTTATTGTGATACGTATAGATTCATGAAACTTATGTATCATGACATCCCTATTGTCTATACATTTGTTAGTTCAGGGGACCATCAGTAATATATTTTGAAGGTCCAAGGTATTGAAATAAGGGTACCAGGGGACCATTATGTCAACAGCAAGTAATTTCCAAGTTCTCACAATGCATTTTACAGGTGGAGAACCCAATCTTTGAATCGAAACTCAGAAAGAAGAAAACCTGACACAGACTGTCCGTACATTGATTGTATTTATCAGAACAGAAACATCAAATAAATCTAAGGAATGTTTCAATCAAATTTGATGGAGTCATTTAACCATGATTACATAATTGATTGGATTTGTACATTTGTCTTCTGACACTCACTATTGTTCATGTCATAGCTTTGACCAATACAGAGCTGTATGACTCCTGATAAGATCGTTTTGAGGACCAAAATAAACATTCTGACGAAAGGGGTAGGCTTATCTAAAGGTTACACTTTCAAACCTTTTCCTGCTAGTAAAAATACAACATTGTATCACTGCTTGTGAATGAACAAGAGAAAACAAAATTGTCGGTGAAGATGTGAAATTTAAGATTAAACCCCACTGAACAAGATGATATACCTTTTCAGTTCTAATTTGTTTTTTGCTAAGAATTGTATCATATGCCTAATTCAGTTTACCTTTACCGTGTGCATTTTTCTCATAAACAGAGCTGAAAATAGGAATGAACTGTGCATGTTTTCCCATCCACCAGTGATTTAGTTAAAACATACCCTAATAACATAATGGAAATGAATTTTGATGCAGTAATCAGGAAAATAGTATCTGAAACTATTATTTTACCAAAAGAAATATATCTTAACATTGTGTTACATTATTTGCAGGTTTTGCTCTATGAATGTAAAATAACGACAATCACAACAAAGGTTATGTGGCAGCACTTTGGTGCATTGCCAGATATTTGACCTGTCACCGGTGTGGTTTCGCGCGATCTCGCTATATCCATCGTGAAAACTGTTTGTCGATAAGTGATCGTCCAGTTACAAGAAATACGACTTTGACAAAGCAAAAAGTATATACTTATCCATTTTCTGTCAACACATGACATTCGTTTTGACGAATGAGTGGATGCAGTATGATTGCGCTTGCTGTGATTCATGTAAACAAAAGTTGTAACTATTGGAGGGACGCATAGTTTTGATTTTGAGTAAAATAAATAAACTAAATTATGAACATTAGTCCAGATAACAGGATTAACTTGTGTAATTCAATATGGATTTGTTGATACTCTATTTCCGATGATTGGTCACGACAAGGAGATGTACATAGTAGTGGTGTTCCAATTAACTGAAACAATCAAAAATTGGTCGCAGTGACAAAGTAATGACAATCACATTTTTGCAAAATCAAACACAAATTATTTTGGAACCGCTGTTTTAGTGTTTGAAACACTTGATGATGGAACATATCTTAGAAGATGTCAGGGCCTGAAAACATGTTTAATTACCGGACATTAGAAAACTCACTTCGCTTACTGAAGTCATGACTGAATATTTCTTGACTCCAGGAAGTTTATGTTCATGATATATTAGTCATCACTTTAAAGTAGCAAGTAGCATCATTTTACATTGCGCAGTTTCAAAATTTAAGAAAAAATCAACAGAGAACCATGTTATGCTTATCTGCAATAACAACCTCATTGGTAATGAACCAATTATCAATTGTGAGATTTCAACCAATTCCCAACACTAGTACGTAGGTTGGTGGTGTAGCTTATGTACTAGACATACCATTTTGATACTGATTTTAAGGGTCATGTTAGGACCATGGCTTATCTATGAGATCGGTTAATCTAAAGCCATATACAGGTTTTTTTATTGACTTTTTTTCTGGGACACACACCGACACTAAGTTACGACCGGCCTTAAGATATCAACTTTTCAATTTGGGAATGGTTCAAAATAGGGTTGTAACGATTCACTGATACCTACAATATCTTTAAAGCTTAGCTACAGATATATTTGAACTGATAGTTTATTACTCATGATGCACTATAAATAGAAAAGGAACTGATACAGTTACCTCCCATAAAGGCAGAAGCAGCAAAGCGCCGCTTTAACTTAGTTTAGGCAGGGAGACTATATAACGGGGAGTGGTCACTCCTCGAAAAGCCCCTTAGCGTATGCCTCAGCTCGTCACGTGACCAGTGTAGCCAATATGGGGGCAGCTTAGTTTTTAAGATTGAGCCTGGTTTATTTTCAACAGCTGATTACATTCGCTGAGTGTTGTGACAACTGAAAACCTACATGTAGAAGATAAGTTACCTATTCTGTCACTTCATTTTAAGTCAAATAATTATTATTAGAGTCAATATTAGTACAGTACTGACTGACTGAGTTTGGTTTTACGCCGCTTTTAGCAATATTCCAGCAATATCACGGCGGGGGACACCAGAAATGGGCTTCACTCATTGTACCCATGTGGGGATTCGAACCCGGGTCTTCGCCGTGACGAGCCAACGCTTTAACCACTAGACTACCCCACCGCCCCTATTAGTACAGTAGATTTCTAGTAAAGTTTCAAGTCAGCATGTTGTAGCTCACTGGCTTCAATTCTCGGTACACACCGAAGAAAGACTAAATTCTATCGCTAAAAACTTCTTTCACATATTCATTTAATTTTTAGAAGGGAAATATACCTTTAGTTTAAAGGTGTTTGCAAGTAATAGTGATAGTTTTATAACTTTAAAAAAATTGTTAGGGTGTATTCGAGGTGTGTGAGGGACTGTATCACAAGTTACAAGGTGATCCCAGCAAATTTCGTAGTAGCCTAGTGGTTAAAGCGTTCACTCATCCTGCCGAAGACCCTGGTTCGATTCTCCACATGGGTACAATGTGTGAGGCCCATTTCTGGTATCCCCCGCCATGATATTGCTGGAATATTGCTAAAAGCAGCGTAAAGCTAAACTCACTCACTTTGAAGCAAGGAAAGGAAAGTAAGTCTTGCCTCTTGAAAGGTATGCATTGCTTCATGCATTCACTAACTACTTTAAGTTATGAGGTGAGGTGAAATTGGGTTTAACGTCATGTTTGAGAATATTTCGCTCATATGACGACGTGCATGCGTGTGTATGTGTATGTGCGGCTGCTTGTACTAGCCCAAACTTAAGTTGGGTTTATAGTGCTAGCCCATTGAGATACCATGCCGCAGTGAAGCATGAATACCCCACTCAGACACATTATATTGACTCCGAGCCGACCAGTCCTTCTTGTACCCATTAATGCCGAGTGCCAGGCAGGGACCAACAAGTACCATATTTTAACGTCTGTTGGTATGACGCGGTCGGGGATCGAACCCGCGACCTTCCACTCTCCGGACGGACGCTCTAACCACTACACCACTTAAAGTTATGACCAAAGGCAATGTCTGCTGCTCAACTAATTCTGAATAGCTGAACTAAACAACCCTGTTTATATGCAGTGCCTACAGCACTGCTGTTAATATAATCTATGGAGATGCTCAAAGCATAACACATTATCCAGAATTGTCACATTGTTTACTTCACAAGACAAGAATAATTTATTTAATGAGTGAAAATGTTTCAATGAAAGAAAAAGGGTAGCAGGTGTTGAATAGTATATGAATATTTTCATTGTTATGAGAACTGAAAAAAGCGCAGGTAACGCAGTACAAAACAATACTTTAAACATCAGGATCATGATGAAGGGTGAATTATTGTCAGTATTTTGAAAACATATATGTATATGAGCAGGTATCATTAAAACGAAAGCTCTGCCTGGTTGACCACAGCACTATGTAGCCAACTGTAACTTATTGTAAAAAGTCATGGCTTTCAAAATAACTACTCTAACCATATGGTTTTCATTATGATTTGGGCCTAACAAATGTCAAGTTCAATATTTATGCCAAAAAGGCAAACAAATATAAAAAGCCATTCAGCAATTTCAAAATAAAATTTGCAGATGGCCAAAAAAAATAATATAGATTTTGTGAGACAAAGACATGATTTGGTGTCAATAACCCGTCAAAGTAGACTAAATCTATAGAAGCGAATTGTTTGTATTTAAAATTTTGGTACTTCCACACCACCGATCAGGTATTACCACTAATTTATGTCCTTTAGATTATTAAATTAGAATGTATACATCCAGACAAACTAGAGTGTAAGAAAACACTTCAAAAGGTTCACCTTTGTTTACCAAGTGTTTGAGTGAGTGAGTGAGGCTAATTTTTACGCCACACTCAGCAATATTCCAGCTATATGGCAGCGATCTGTAAATAATTGAGTCTGGACCAGACAATCCAGTGATCAAAAGCATGAGCATTGATCTGCGCAATTTGGTGTTAAGAAGGGTGATATCGAAGACCAAAGTTTGAATCCCCACATGGGTACAATGTGTTTTGCCCATTTCTGGCGTCTCCTGCCATGATATTGCTGGAATAGTGCTAAAAGCAGTATAAAACCTGACTCACTCACTTACATTGTAATTGTATGTACACTGAAATACTTACCCGAGTGCTCTCTTTCCCCTTGTTGGGGCCAGATACATTGTTTTTCCTGTCTTTCATAACTCCGAGTGGTCTAACTGCTATTTGCTGTATTGGCATACTGTAGTACTGGCTATGGTATACATCTGTTCCAGTTTGGTGATCCAGATACTAACTTGAGGGTCCTTCCAGGTGGCTAGACTCATGTATGTCTTTTCTAGACGCCCTACATACTGATGATCACAGCTGGATCTTCAGTAGTCTGAAAAGGAGGAAATGGATTAGGTATTTTAATCTCGTTATCAACATGACAAAACCAAATTACAACTTTTACTGGAACATATTTATCTCTACATTTTTAAACTGTCAGAGGGTGTCCTGCAATCTTTAAGGTTAGCTGATACAGTATCTGAATCTTGAAACCCTCCTAATATTTAAATTTTCACATTAATGTAGTAACAAGGACATATTTCTCACTTTACTTCGAACATTGCTTTACTAGGTACAATGTTGTACGTTGTATATGCTGGTCATGACAGAAACCGGCCTGAGGCTTTTAAGTTTTTGACTGCATCTCAACAATAACCTTTGCTTGTTACAGCATGATTCAAATTAATGACAGGAACAGATGCATTTTCTGAGATTTTCTTGTTTCTGAACACAATGAAAGAAGAAAGTATCACTGAATCGACTATATTACGAAAACTCTACTGACCACATGTCTATATTTACTTTAGAATCTATGAATGGTGATCCCTATGTACACGAATAACGAGCTTCCATCTCTAGTAATGATTCCTGTGGTACCAACTAACAATATAGAGTTCTTGTAACATAACATGTAATGTTGGAACACACGACATCGGACTGTCAACTTATAAACCAGGACATAATATACAAAATGCACACACAAAACTTTAAGATGTAACAATGTCATCAAACATTTTATAAGCTAAACATAAAATATTTGTCCTATTAAATCTTGTTTACTTTTATTGAGTAAGATCTACCATCACTGGGTTAAAGGGGTTTGGTTAAACCATTCACAATCATATAAATCATACATAAAGAGTGTATTTTGTCTTCCAACTGTTGTTAGTTAGTACTTGTTAGGTCATTAGCACGATGTCATGCCCGACAATTATTCATCTTTTGCGCCATTGTTTCTGGGACTGCACTGAGTCCTGGGGGAACGTAACAAGTTTCAAATCGGATAACACTGACCTAGGGTTTATAACCCTAAACCGTAACTCTAAGCATTGTAAAGGGTAGTTTGTATAGGCAAACCTAACCCTAAACCCTAACGATTGTCATAGGTTCTTTCCTATACGGAAGTGTCAGCTCCCCTAAAATCGTATAGGGTTGATTGCTTCTAAACACAATCTGCATTCTAGCCGTTTTTAGAAATCTGTTTTGTTTTCACATTATGACATGAGCTAAATATCCTTGTGAAATTTAACACTATTGAATAACCGAATACGTTATCAATATCCCGTGATTCGAGTGTTTCTTAGCAGAACGAAGAAGCTAACGTGACAGGTGACATAAAAGTACACTTATCCAAAGACTTGGAAATACAAACTCTACATTGAAGCTTCGAATGACACTGTGCAGCACTGGTCTTCCTTGACAGTTTGCGCAAGAGATTTGTTTATATACCATTGATACGCTCCATTTGCTTGTATCGTAAATCCTTTAAAGACACACAAATCAGTGAACTAACTTTCAACAAAGCTTCTCACATTCCTAACGTAGATGCACAGAAAATATTCACCTGTGTTGTGCTCGCCACTTATTTTGTCACATCTGATCTCAGGTGCGATTGGCCTCCATATGTAAAGATGACGTCACAACAAGTGCCCTCTAGTGCCGCAGATATTTCCAAGCAGATATGTTTGGGGTCGATCAAGATTTTCGCATCAATAGATTCCTCAGTTGATTTCTCCTCAAACACGACGATGGGATTTCTTTAATTATTATAAAGAGATAAAAATGATAACTAACCTCAAACGCTATCAGTCGTTGATTACATTTGTTGTTTGGTTGAAGGGGAACAACTCTGTTTTTGTTATCTCAATCAAGTAGATACATTTGTTCGGTGGTAGACTATACGTCCTAAAACAAATACTCGAACTAAATTAATTTTTTTCTGCAATATGTTTCAAGCCGCGCTGTTGCCAAAGTGTATTATATTGGAGATTGATTGCCAGCATTGGCCTGTAGTGTCATATTAGAATGGTGGCATGAATGAAACCGACGTCCAGTTTCAGTTCATGTTATTCAAGAATAAATCAATAATCAAGACATACAATATACATTAGATGAGTGTATAGGATATTTATTTGTCTAGCCTGGCGTTCAGTGTTACAAGCGCTCGGTAGTGGTCTGAATATAAACAGCCATCATCAAGTAAAGAATATTCGTTGATAAAAATGAGAATTCTAAGGATAAATTACGATATTCTATGCGTGCTTGAGGTACGGACAGGAAAACTCCGCAAATTTATTATCCCACACTGGTTTCCAAACGTGGATTTCGCTCGCTGCACCCATTTCAAGCCTGTGCCTGAGTCGCTTAATTGCTCGAGTGTATATCATCCATTTTATTCATGTACACCTGTGCAGTAAAACACGGTAAGCAGTGTGACGGCCCACTTCACTGACGTCACGTTCAATTGTTTAATGACATGACGTCACAGACAACGAAAGACAGAAACAATGGTTGCTGGTCAAAAGTGATATTTGCCCATGATTGTGCACATAATGTATAGGGGCGGATCCAGAGACGGGGAGCATTTCCACCTAACCTTTGGACTTAATGATTTATGTGCATTCAATCCACTGTCACCGTGAGTGCCACGTCATTGTTACCATGACGTCAAAATCAAATAAATCACTAATCTACCCTCGAAGAGCCAGCAACCCATGCTTGTTGTGAGAGGCGACTAACGGCATATGATGGACAGGCTCGCTGACGTGGTTGACACATGTCATCCCTATCCCAGTTGCGTAGATCGATGCTCATACTGTCGATCACTCAATTGTCTGGTCCAGACTCTATTATGTAGCTGGAATATAGTTGGAATATGAACGCGACGTTAAACAACAAACAAACAACAACAACATCACTAATCTCTCTGTTATCGAAATTAGCAGCATTTTTCACATTATATATATTGCTTATTGACGTTTACAAAATGTTACTGACGTTTACAAAACAGCTGGAAGAATGGTCTGATGATAAATAGAATCTTAGCTTTTGTATTTGGACATCAAATATATAAACAAGTGTAAAATGTAAAACTCGTCGGTAAACATTTGAGTTAGAAAGTTTCATTTACTCTTGCAGATATACTCTCCCTAAAATAAAAAGAAACGCATATGTGTATTTTTTTACGAATTTAATCCAACTTTAAAGTGAGATAATACATGTAATTCTGGATCAGTTGCAGACAAATTTCCTAGTATTAAAGACGAAATACCTGTTCAATAAGTGAAGGCGTCCGTCCCAAGTTGGGCGTTGTCTTCAATATATGCTATGACCATCTTGGACCCCCTAAACCGCTCTGCGCCGATTTCGACCTTGTGGATCTACGACAGTTGATCCAACTTCTGGGGCGCCGGTTGACGTTCACGTTCACCGAGGCTATCCCACAAATGCTCGATCGGATTGGGAAGGCCATGGAAGCACTTTAATGTTCTCATTCTGAAGACACTGAACAGTGGTATGTGCTGTCTAAGGCCTGGCATTATCTTGCGGGAACAACTCCCTCTGGTGGTCAATGATCGGAACCATGTGAACACATGCAACCAAAAAATCAAACATAATTAAAACACAATTATCACTTATTCATGACATATAATATACATTGCTGGTTATTGAAAAACATATAAACAAAATTATAAGCGTACAATCGCAAATCAAAAGTGCAATATTGTGTACTTGGGTTTACTTCCCAAGAAACGAAGCAGCCGGGATACCGAACCCAGTCAGAGCGGGTGGGTGTGCACTCAAGTGTAACGGGGTGGTTCATTTGCAGATGCCATCACGGCTCATTGTGTGTGTATCTATATAGAGATGTTGGGTTTTGTAAATACATGCTCATTTTTTGTGTATAACATTTTGCAATCAACAGACATCATAACATGTCATGTGTTCAAGTATCACACCTGCCTGTCTGTGTAATTACATATTGTGACAGAGACCGAACTCGGGCCATAAATCAATGCGTTTTGTTTATGGTGTAGAGCCTGATTGGTGTTAAGTTCAAATTGCATGTGGTCAGTGATCGCAGTTGTGTATTGAATATTGTCATTAGCAGACAGGCAGGCAGACACACAGGTGTCAATAAAACAAGACATTGAGTTTTGTCTGGGACAACGACAGATCTATATCACAGTTAGAAATTCTGTCAACGCTAAATAATGACATTGCTTTTAAGTATCGAACTGAGAAAGTGACTCGGTAAGAAGAACGTGTGGTAAAATAGACCAATGAAATTATATACTGAGTCAAAAAAGAAACTTCACATAATGTAATTTGAAAAATAATGAATAATTTTTCTCTGATGATACATCTATGTATCCGAAATGGGATCCCTATCTTTCGACTCTAGAAAAAACGTTAGCCAAACCCCCTCAAACCCATCCATTCGTCGTGCAAATGACGTTAGTGCCAAATCAGGTTTTGCACGTGCAGTCGATCACGTGATCTTCGCATCGAAGTTTTCTTCATATGCACGTGTTTGCATTGGCCTCAAGAATTGAAAAAACACTTTTAAACTACAGTTCTAACGGTACTTGAAATGCCACGATTGTCAAATGTGCAACGTGAACGTGCCGTTGGCATGTTGCAAGCGGGAAGATCAGTTTTTGACGTCGCAAGAGCTATGGGATGCAGCCGTCGTACTGTGTATGACTTGCGAGGTCGTCTACAACAAACTGGCACCACTTCTGATCGCCCAAGGTCGGGTCGTCCACGTGTGACGTCACGAGCAGAAGACCGTCAAATCGTCCTACGTCACCTACGTGACAGATTTCTGCCGGCTACACGAACCAGGGCTGAGATGTTTAGAGGTCGACTGTCCTCACAGACCATTCGAAATCGGTTGCGGGCTGCCAATCTCCATTCTCGACGTCCATATCGTGGGCCAATATTGACGCCGTTTCATCAACGTCAACGTCTGCTGTGGGCCCAACGTCACCTCCGATGGACCCAGAGAGACTGGAATCGAGTCGTCTTTAGCGATGAATCCAGGTTTACCCTCAGATTCGCGGACGGCAGGCATAGAGTCTGGAGACGACGTCGTGAACGGTATGCCCAATGTTGTGTACAGGAAGTCGACAGATTCGGGGGCGGAAGTTGCATGGTGTGGGGTGCTTTCTGTGGGAACAACCGTTCCCGACTTCTGGTCATCCGTGGAAACCTCACAGCTGCTGCTTACCGCGACCAGGTGCTCACCCCTGAACTCGTTCCTTTCATGGCGGCTCATGGCCCAGGTCTACAGTTCCAGAATGATAATGCTCGGACGCATACTGCGATGTTGACACGAAATTTCCTTCAAAACGCTGGAATCAACGTCATGGACTGGTCATCGAGGTCCCCTGACCTTAATCCAATAGAGCACGTTTGGGATGCACTTGGGAGAAGGCTTCGTGGTCTGAGGAACCAACCTCAGAATTTGCAGGAACTTGGCGCTGCCTTGCAAGAGCAATGGCGCAGAATCCTCAACCACGTGTTCACAAGCATCAGGCAGTCGATGAGGAGACGGTGTTTGGCAGTGGTGAATGCGCGGGGAGGCCATACACGATATTGAACTGAGAAATTTCGCATTTTTATTCTTGTGACTTGACATTCTGTATACCCATGTTTTGGAACGGCGGTGTAGCCTAGTGGAACTGATTATGGTACTGTAAGTGTATCGAGTACATCACACAGATCTCAGCAAATAAATAATAACAATTTAACCATCTTACCATCTCTTGTTCTTTTATAGTGTCCTGAAGAAAGAATGTGAAGTTTCTTTTTTGACTCAGTATATAAACAGTTTATTTACTGTCATAACATATAAAAAGCTCGCGCCTGTGAGATATCAACAAAACATTAGGAAAATAGCTCACACCAAAGCCTTCACCGAGTATTCACCGGACAGCCCGCTTCCAAGTTGCGCGAACCTATTTCACTGCGCACGTGCTATGAGCGTAGCCCAGCTGTTGAAACCAGTTTTCCGGGGGGGAAATTAGTGAATCGTTTGAACTCCAATTTCGCGCGATTTTTTTCATCGCGTTATTTTTCAACTTTATAAGTTGAATTTGCATTTTTGATGATTTGTTTCGGTACGTCCATACCGAAAGGTATCAGAATCTGCAAAGTTGTGTTTTACGTTGCTTGTGACCTTTAAGATTTCGTCTCTGTACCGAATAGCACTTAAATTGCCCTGAAGGCGCAAAGTTAGATTTCTGCGAGTAGGATAAAAATCACCCCCACTCCTCCACACTCTTACCACCATATCGGTCAATCGGGTGACACAATTCTGGGCAGAATGGACGTCGATAGACATGTACTCTTCGATCACGGCACTGAAGCAGAAAACGTGATTCGTCACTGAACCATACACGTCGCCAGTTTTGTACATTCAAGAATCGAACGTTATTGCACAACTGGACCCGTCGACGTCAATGAAGTCGTCGCAGCACAGGGCCAAAGTAGGGTCGAAATAGCTCGAAGTCCAGATCCTTGTAAACGATTACGAATGGCTTGCGCCGACACTCTCCTCAAACCACGCTATTGTCGCTGGTTTGAATCCCAGATTAAACTTGATGTTTCTTGGTTTGTCTGTACAACACGCATTGAATCAAAGTGGTAAACTTCGGGCTTTCCTCCCACAGTAAGTTGACACACCGTTAGACAACTGAAATATTGTTTGTAGCAGCATTAGCTACCCTCACTGTAAGATTTCAAGATTCGTATTCCAATGTTGGAATTATGTCATCGTACCCCAATTGAGTAGATCGATGCCTATGCTGTTGATCACTGGATTATCTGGTACAGACCGCTGTCATGTATTTGGAATATTGCTGAGTGCGGCGTTAAACAACAAACAAACAAACAATATCACGACGGGGGACACCAGAAATGGGCATCGCACATTGTGCCCATGAGGGGAATCGAACCCGGGTCTTCAGCGTGACGAGCGCAAGCGCAAGGCAACCCCACCGGGCGGGTAACCTGTACGTCTCACAAGAAGATTGATGTTCAGACTCAGATACCTGGCTGAATGCGTGCCATCGTGCCTATAGACAAAGCCTGCAACCAAACCAGTCTAAGGGCCTGTTCGATTATTGCGAAACTTGTTTTGGTTTCTGAAACTGGTTTCTCTTGTTATCAACAAGTTTCAGTTTCGGATACATGGTTTCAAAGTGAAACTAGTTTCTAGTTTTATAAACGAGTGGATGGTTTCACCATCCGGTTTCAAAATTTGATACAAAAAAATGGCTCAGCTACAATATATGTGGAAGGAATTGGATGACAGCATTGCCGAAGGTAATATTTTTTGTCATTTTATCAGGGAATGAACAAATAAAAAAGAGATGAGATGCTTTTGGAGGTAAATATTTGCGTATATGTAATTATACTGTTACAAGTAATTATATGTACATTGTGTATACAAGTTTTAAATAATATTTTCCTAGTTCTCAGTTGATTTTTATCATTTATTTGGTTACAGAAACTGCTGCTCTATTTTGCCACCAAGATCAGCTGAACTTCGTTTCCGCCATGTTTGTTGTGAGGGAACGCGAAACCGAAACTGCGAAACCTGCCTCAGAGATGGTTTCGAAGTTTCAGAACCCAGTTTTAGGTTTCGACATAATCGAGCGCAATGTTTTCCAGAAACCAAAACCGGTTTAGCATAATCGAATAGGCCCTAAGTAAACTTAGACTCAGTATTATTCGTTACACTGCTATACTGAGTCTAACAAAACCTTATAGAAGGTTGCGTCAGCTAACCTTTTGGACTGCCCAATCAGAACACAGCTTACCAAATCGCGAAAGTTAACATTCGCACATACCGTTTGAACCTTTATCTATAAAACTCGAACTCGAATGCTATTTTCCGCACGATCGCTTCCGAGTGATACACGCAATGAGTAAACAGTCGCTGAAAATAGCGTTTTTGTTAATATTCAAGGATGTCATCTTGCGAAAATATAACCAAATAGTAACCACGTCATTAGAAACCCATAAACGTATATAATGCAGGTCAAATATATGTGTTTTATGCGGATTTTCGTTTGTTGATAGATCAGTGTCAGCGACCAGGGAAGAGAAAATTCAAAAACCGTTTTGTAAGTCCCGCCGAACCCTAACAAGTAGTCGTTGTCTGATTGGTTAAATCCGTTCGGCCGTCTCGCGTTTGATTGGACGGTCATAGGTCGCTCAACGGTTAGCTGACGGTTTTATTAGACTCAGTATAGCAGTGTAACGAATAATACTGAGCGTAAGTTTACTTAGAATGGCAACCAAACTAGAACTTCAACTAATTGTGGGTGAGTGACTATGCTTGTACGCATATTCCCTGAAGATGACGGAAGGGGACACCAGAACTGGACTCCACACATTGTACCCACGTTAGGATTCGAACACGGGTCTTATTGGTGAACAGCGAATCACTAGGCTACCGCACCACCCAAACTACAACTTATATGATTTTATATTAAAAAATGTTCGCTGAACACGCTGGACATGTTACGGTGTTAAAGGTGTAATATACTGTTTGGCCTCACCCAAGAAATTGTATAATTTTCAGCAGATCTCGGTCCAGAACATACCAATATTTCCTCCCCTGTCTATCAGATGGAACATTCCTGTTTTCCTTACTCATTTTCATTGGCGATCTTGACATTTGAGATTATTAGCTAACTATACACCAACTACTGATGTTTACGATACGGTAAAAACACGAGGGTAATACTCTCTTTATCAGCTTTTGAGGCTTTGTCTCTGAAAATAAATAATTTGCAGCCATGCCAGCATAATCACAAACATTCGAAAACAATTATCTGAACTTACAGACTATGTCAGTCAATAATTAATTAATTAGGAAGGTAGGCATTGAAGAAGGGAAATAAAAAGTAGTTCCTACTATCTACATTACTGGCATATTCAAGGGGTCGAGACCTAATGTATTGGAGAGGTTTATCGCATCGATAACTCCAGCCATTAGATGATATTAATTTTTATTAGTACGTGTATATGAGGCATATGTTTGTGTACCATTAGAGGCGCCCTTCACGGCTTGGTCGCTATACTTCACAACACCATAGGCGGATTCAGTGGTGTGTGTGTGTGTGTGTGTGTGTGTGCGTGCGTGCGTGCGTGCGTGCGTGCGAGGGGTGCGCACCCACCCACCCCTCCCTTTGTCCTGAATTTTTTTTAAATGATCATTGAAACGCTCGTGAAACGAAGTGTGCACCTCCCACCCCTTTTCTCCGCCCCCGAACATTTCCCTATTTTGAATTAAGGTGAACAGTTGTCTTGCCTTTGCATGTGTTTGTGAAGAGTGACACTTTTTAGCGAACACCTGATATCATCACTGTTTGATGAACACATGGTATAGTCGGAATCGTATAACGTACTCTGCTACTACAACATATTTCATATGATTATGGAAATGGTTCTTTTTGGTGACAATTTCTACCTACACAGAGTTGAGACCCCACATATCACACCTATATACTATGTAGTCACGATTATATTAATGAAGCAGCATGTGATACCACTGTAGTCTGGCTTCCAAAGACGAAATTTATCAACCATAGCAACAGTCACGTGTGTTGTTATTGTTTCCATAGTTACGGATTAGCTATACACAGGTTGTCATCTCGGCAACATGACTATTTCTATTTGGATGCTATTTAACCCGCTGGATGCCGACATTTTTTTATAAGGTCAGAAGTGAACGTTAAGCGAGAATTGCTCTCTCGCGGCCGTTAATTCATCCCCGGCTACAAACTTACACAGAAATGTGGAATAATAAAAGTCCTTTCTGATGGTATAAATTCAAGTGCAAATACTTATGCGGGTTGAAACTAGACACTGCTAAGTGTTGCCCGAAATGTTGTTATGAGCTACAAACGTTTTTTGAACGGTCATTTTCAGCACTTTTGCATTGCCTAAGATCTAGCGGATGATGTCTAAAACAGGATGATGTCTAAAACAAATACATTCAAAAATGTACTTGTGTGCGTGATACATTTTGAATTTTATTCGACTTCAAAGTGGGGGTTGAAGAGGAAGGACACACATATCACCCTGACATCCAGGGGGTTAATAGCTGTATAGAATATCCAGAAATTACATGACAGGAATACATCGTTGCAAGGACAGGTACAATGTATGGCTGGTGAAACATTGATGCAAAACGTATAACACTGCTTCATAACACAAATATGAATGAAAACGAATGGATACAGGGCATTTATTCTACCTGAATGGATAGTCAGTACCTTGAATTATCGAGAATAGATGCCCAGCAGTGAAAGACATTTCTTTCAGATATGAAATTTCTTTATAGTTTTCAAAAATGTCTGCACAGAAAATCACTTCCGTGGATGAGTAGATAGCGCGTTTTTTCGGAGTGCGGAAGGTTCGATCCCCACATGGGTACAATGTGTGAGGTCCATTCCAGGTGTCCACGCCGTGATATTGACGGAATATTGCTAAAAGCGGCGTAAAACCAAACTCACTCAACACCGCATGTAACCAAAAGACCTTGAGCGATGCAACTTCTTGTTACCCTGCCTGGTGCACGGTATTTTGGTATAAAACAAATACCGGTTGGCTTGGTGTCAGTACAAGAGTCTGAGTGGGGTATACATATCAAACTGGCGCATGGCAACTAATGGCTACAACGCTACACTCAAGGGGCCCTGACTCGTACAATCAGCCACATACACGGACATAGAATAGCTATGTATAAAAGTGTACAATCTTGAACGGGACGTTGACCATTATTTCGAGTCACTTTCACAACAGGAAGATTACTTTCTATCGGAGATGTAAGACAAATGCTGCCATGCCGGTTGTGTTCGTCTTCTATAATGTATATAGCACCCCGGGGAACAACCCTAGATCTAGAACAGGTTAATTTGACTATTAGATCGGCGGGTCCCGATCAGTGATACCGTTGGTAGCGTGTCATCAGTCCCTGAAGCAAGCAAGGATCGATTATTTAAGCCCTCGTAATGATCGAATATTGCTGATTAGAACTGAACACAATACACTAGAGTCAGTCTTTCGAAAGGTAACTACTATATACAGGCTTTAAGGGGAAAAAAACCCGATCAACTTGGAGGGATAAATGTATATACATATATTTATATGTATGTCAGTATTTCAAGGCTGGTCCTAGCATATACACACACACACACACACACACACACACACAAAAACAATTAAGCATAACCTCAAGTACTGACGTACAGAAATCGCTGATGCAATTTACCAGCGTGAACAGTTTACACATGTATAAATATTTTACATCCTTACAGGCGAAATCGGATGCATGATATTGTAGTGTGGTCATTGTCACGGGTGGGCTTGATATCTAATCAATTGCTCGCAAGACAAAAAAAAAGGACAATATAGCTAGTCTTTTTGCAACTTCCCTTTTATTCTGGTTAACAGTGTATTCATATATTAACATAATAAAATCAAAATGTTTTGATTTCAATTACAGGTTACATTCTGGGCATATGTATATATGTATAGTGGTCTCAATAATATAATATTTACAAGAGTCTTCAATCAAATGTAATGCATATGATTATTACATTTTGCGCATACACATATTGCAGGGATCTTTTCAGATACAACTTAATTAAAATCAGACCTTAGTTTTGGCTAGCCTGTTCTAATGAGGTATTTCAATTGCTAAAACTGAAAAATCAAAACCCCGACACCAAGAAGATAAAAATGTGTATAACTTGAGTTTGGTGATGAAAGATTTGATGGTGGAAGACAATGAGTTGGGTTTAGTTGCCCTCTATTTTGTTCATTTGACTTTTATTTCATGAAGAGAAACTCTCAAATATGTCTGGTGGGATTTGAATAAAAGGGCATAAACATGGAAGACAACAATAAATGGAATTATTCGACGAGTTCATAACATATTTTCCACCACACATCAAGGTTCTACAGGGTTAAGTTCTCTGGGGTGGCCTATGTGAAAAGTCTCTTGACATCACCTTATAATTATTTAATCTCTCCCCATAAGGTGATATACTCAAATAAATTCTGTTTGCACACAAAAATGTGATCTCAGCACTCAATGGGCTTCTGAATCAGGGACAAAATAACAGTAAAAAATAGTTGTTTGCCGAGAGTAATTTCTCATAAAGAGTAGAGTAAACGTGTAAATAACACAAAAACACAAAAGCATATAAGATAAAAAAATAAGTACATGTACTATGAAGTCGGTAAAGTTTGGATATCCTGGCTCATTTCAAAAGGGAAAGTGGGCGGATTTCTCTTCACTTCGGTGCCGTTTCAGCATGAACGGTCGCACATGCGCCATGCTAGAAACCCGATACAGTGACAAGTGCATCACAGAAACAGCTGTATCAAAATCATTATCGTTAATAGTTAATGTGAAAATATCAGGTTACATCAACCACATGAATCTGTACAAGGTTGGGCTACAATGCACATGTTAAAGTTAACTTTAGTGTCATTATTCATTAAAATGCACCATTATTAATGTACAACAATGGAAAGTACATAAGAAAATTATAAAACGGAATTGTTTTAAAAATATATGCTTCTACCTTCTAATGTTTTAATTTCATAGTTGAATATGGTACAAATAGAACACTTTGTTTAACAATTGTTTGCAATTTAACCCCTCATTATGCAATATTCCACCTGCGAAATACTATATCGAGTTTTAATGTCTTTATGCCTTTTTTTGCATAACCTTTTCGTAATAATCGAAAAAATTCTTGGAGTCTTTCTCTTTTGCTAAAACCATGTTTCGGGCAGCGCGTGCTCTGTCGTAGTCCGCCCAGTATTGGCTGATCCAGTCCGATTTATGCCATCTGAAACAGAAAATAATATTGAAAGGAATACCTGATGATATCACGGAGACAGCTGTGTTACATCTTAGTATACCTCTCATTCCATCTTTAATTACCCATTGCATCATATTTCCATGTCAAATATCACTATGATATCATACACTGCATTATCAGGGCTTTCAATCCCTGGGAGTTACCGGGGATACAAACTGACCCCAGCTCGAGTCAATTCGTTAATTATTATTCATGAATTGCTACTTCAGTTGTTTTTTTCTTTCTTTTTTTTTTGTGTGTTTTGCCAGTATGGGCCGACTTGTATACCTAAACTCACAAGACAAGGCAACAGGTTATAATTTATGCTGGCCAGAATATTACTGGATTTCTCTGTGACTATATTATCGTAGCGTGCCGATCGATATTCCTGTTCCATAAGAAGCATTAATCAGTTCTTGAAAGCCATTTTGAAGTTGGACGAACATGAATACATGACACGTTTTAATGGATAACTTCTTTTTTATTCTTTATATGCCGTTTCAGAATCGTCGCATAAAGAATAAAATAGAGGTTGTTATCACTGAAAACGCCTCATGCATTCATGTTCCTCCATATACTTTATATGTCGTATAAAGAATAAAAACGTGCCACGTATTCATAAATCACATTAGCCACTACTTTCTAACAAGTCTTTAAATGGGACCATGAAAGGCACTATACCGGTCCGCTGGCACTTTCCTTGTCAATTTCTTGTCCATCTTTACCAGCATGCCTAATAGAGAGCCTTAAATGGGTCATGGGCAGAGCTTTTACGTGAATTGCACAACCTCCTAATTTTATGCCAAGTGAAAATTTGCAGAAAGATCTGTTTTTAATGTAAACAAATCGCTGCCACATTGTGAGTGACGAACCCCTGACCTTAGATAACGCCTGTCTGTTGCAATTATCCAATCTTATGGCATTCATGACCTTAACCGAGGCAATTATAACATAATCGCATCCAATCCCAACTTTACTACTGCTCCTTCTAAAGGCATGTATGTCAGTAACCTACCAACAATTTTCGAAAGTTATAAAACTTAAAACAATACATATGTTGTACGGTTAACTTTGACAAGGTCTAAGATCCTTTCCTATAAGACACAAATCCCTTGTGCAAACTCAGCGAGTAAGAAGGAATAATCTTAACTGAAATAATACTTTGTCAATATTTGTGCCCCGTATGAAAGTATTCGTTACGGTCTTGCATACGTGGCAGTAAAAGCTTGTCTTTTCACTTGCAGAATTGTCCTGTCAGCATAGACATCTCTATATATAAGCGAACTTTAAAAAATGCCTTACATGTCATTTTTGGGAATATCACCAGGGTGTCCGATGGAGGGATAAGGCTGCGGGCAGCCTAAATGGGAATATTTTGCAACTCTTGGAGATGGTAACGGAATGTCCGGCTCGTCTTCTTGATCTTTCTCGAAATTTAAACGCTCATGAACCCTCTTACAGACCAGGCATTCAAATCCTCGGAAATAATCAAAACCTCCGTTTTCGTTAACATGCCATGGCCTCTCCTTCAGGTGTTTCAAGAGGAACTGGTTTGTAATTCCTGTGTTTTTAAACGCTAGATATTTTTCATATTCCGTATCGTCAGCATCAACAGCCTTAATGAAAGCAGCTAGTTCCTCGGGCGTTGAAAAATCGTCAACCATAATCACACTGTGATTGTTTGGCATCCACTCTTTAGCTGATGATGACCCTTTGTAAATGGGAACAGACCCTACATACAACGGTCGCATAAGCTTCTCGGTCATGTAGTCTTTACAGTTGGCATTTTCAAACGAGAGATGGAATTTATACTGAGATATAAAATTCAGGAATTCATCCTTTTCATAATTTTCTGCTGGGTCTCTCAGGTGTTCTGGCAAATCCTTATTATGTAGACACTCCCCATACGAGTCGACATCAATGTATTTCATCAGTTCTTTCACGTAACGATCACGGTCCGAAGGGACATCACAGTGAGACTGGACGTACAAAACCGATGCCATCTTCATACTTTTCTTTGCCTCGTTTTTTTTAACAAGATCGACTGGTTTCCTGTCCGTCAGATAGCTTACATGATATATGTTCTGACTCGTCAGTGGATAATCTGACTCCGATCTAAACGTTGCAGTGTGATTGAACAGCTCAATGAATGGAGTATGCGACAAAATGTAGTTATTCAGCGGTGACTCTTCGTGAAATAAAGCCCATTCATGATACGCACGCCTTGGCATTGGTAATTGCTCGGGCTGAATGTCAGTACCATAAAACATAAACACTCTTGTCCGTTTCGACTTGGCATACTTCTTGTACTTTGTGGTATAACATGAAACATCTCCACACTGAATAACATATTTATCGGACTTTCCTCCAAAATGTGGAAAGATTGTATCCGTCCACCACAAAATGATTGGGAGATCGTGAGTCGTTCCGGGTTCATTGAAGACTCCATATCCTTGATTTGTGTCACTCCCGTAGATGTCGTTAAATGGAGAACGTGGTTCGTATTCCGTACCGTCACTGCTGCTGTATCCGTCTTCCACTGCAATGTTTATTTGGGGGAAAAGACACCCCAACATGACAACAAACCAAATGCTAACTTTCATATTTCGACTATTATTATGTAAATATCGACAGTGAGTCAACGAACACAGACCTGCACTGATTTATCGTGTAACAACAGATACCATTCAACAAAGTTGACGTGTGACAGGTGTACTATTGATGAAGTGATAAATATAGGTACAAACGTTGACAACTGACAACACGTTGATAGCCGCCACACACGGTACGCGTTGTACGTGTGACGGCGTCTGCTACACGAGTTATTCAAAATGATAATACTACTTGCCTAACAACGTATGATTTCTTGCCTCATTCTCCTCTAGGCGGTCCTCAAATGGATTCGTACTGGTTTATCTACCATGCATGTATAATATGTCAATTTGATTGAAATTTTATCTTGACTGATCGAAACAGACTCGTGGTATGTCCTCAAGCCGACAAAACATGAAAACATGACACTATCGAGCTCGCGTGACCTGCTCCCTGTTATACTCTTTGACGATATTTCTTATTCAGCAGTTTAGTTTGTGCGAAGTGTAAGATTATAATCGTGAAACTGCGCAGGAATTTCATCACGATAAAACCTGGGACTGGACTGGTATTAATGCTTGAGCTGTTTATGGATCCAGTGAACCAAACTTGTACACAATTGTTATTTTAAAGTGTGGATACAAATTACGATATTACCTTTTATCAGTAAAAAACAACAACAAAAAAAACAACAAAAACAACAAAACCAAAAAGACAAACAACAAAAAACAAAACAAAGCAAAACAAACAAACTACCCCCCACACACTAGATCGATAGAGGGGTTGGGGTAGGGTGGGTGGTGTTGGTAAGCCTTGCCTTATTATTCAAAGAATCAGTGCAAGCAGGAATGATTAAATAGCATCGCACAGATATTAAAAAAGCACACACAAATTGTTATTATCTGTGCACACAACCCGCTGTCGACTAAATGACAACGTGCTTTTTAACCTCACACTCGAAAACAATCCGTCGAACAAGTGTCAACATATTCTCGTTGGTTTGTCTGTTTGTTGTATGACGTCGCAGTCGGCAATGTTGCAGTTATATGGCAGCGGTCTGTTAATAATCGAGTCTAGATCAGACAATCCTGTGATTGACATCATGAGCATCGATCTGGGGATACCATGACATGTTTCAGCCAAGTCAGGAGCATGACCATCCGACCCGTTAGTCGCCTTTTACAAGCATGGTTTGATGAAGACAAATTCTAACCCGGATCTGCATGGGTAGTTTATCATTCTAATTTCGGCATAAACCGAGGAGGCTTCAGTGATATGCTCCGTTGTAACTTATATTTTGTTGTCTCGGATTGTAATAAGACTGCCGTTTTCACCAGTATCCCCGGTCTTCTAGGGGCAATATTGGTGTTGTATTGACGTCATAACGTTTCAATGATCCCTCTGTATTCATATCTGTATTGGGGTGTTTTAAGTCACCATTGCCCGGCGACCGTGTACAGTTATATGTATTTGCCGGGCAAGTGAATTTTCTACTGATTCCTCGGCATAGCCCATCGATCTGTGCATTCAGTAAGATGGTGTCAGTATGGTGTGAAAGTGTGTTTGTTTGTGTTTATTCATCGAAATTCCAGTTATGTCCAGGTAAATAATTGAGTCTTGACCAGATAATCCAATGTGTGGTAAAATTAGGACAAAATACACGTTTTGGGATAACAATACAATTTACAAAGCATGTTTCAACCAGGACTATCTTTTTGCATTGAAAACAAAATCGGTTTTGATAAATCAGTCACTTGGAAGCTCGCCCTGTTTGCATGTTACACCAGAGATTCCTACAAAGATTTACATCAACGATATGTAGTGAAGAAGATACTATTTTACTTTTGTTTTCCTTCCCATAAGTCCCGTTGTGCCTACTTCCTGCTTACGTGGCACGTGCTACGCATGTCAGGAAGTCCATGTCGGCTTTCCGTACGTGGCAGAAGTTGTGTGTATTTTCTGGGCATTTATAACGATTCAGAGGGTTTGGTGGTCATTCGAGATAACAGAATTTGGTAGGTATATATTCACCTGTTATTGAGAAGTTTTGATTTCTTCTAAAGTTCTCTGGTAGCTGCGTACTTATCTGCACTGACCGGTGTTTCCGGGCTTGACAGCTGTGGATGACTGGTCCTAACTTGACCATAATATATTTCCACACCAGGTTTGGGTAGGTTCGCTCGTTGCATTAACACGTTGTTTATAGTATTAAGAACGAAGACAAATATGTTATATGTATTTTTTTGTAGGTATATGACAACTGTGTTCCTAACACATTTATTCGCTGATAAGTTGAATCTCTCCACACACGTCTGATGCACTTATCAACAAAATGTGAAAAATATGGATTGATAAAAAATATACACATCAAAACTTCTTATGACTTTATGCCGATCGTATTTTTTATAAAGACGTAGATTGTGGTTGCTTGTGAAGTGCAGGAGTTAGATAACAAAATGTAATTTGATCATAGATGGTGTCCTTTCCATTCCTGGCAGACTGTTGTGTCAAGGAAGCAAAGAAATTCACAAAGCTCATAATCAAGCTCATCAGTTTCTGGTAAACATGATGGATGTATCAACTCTAATGTTGAGATATCTATATGTTGATTTATATGGCCCTATGTGTTTGTTGTAATAAATATTGTAAGTTCAATTTGTTATTATGTTCCAGTAATGTTTTGTCACTGTAGTTCATATGTAAAGATATAAAGCAACAACAAAAAAAACAACAAAACCAACCAAACAAACCCAAAATACATCCACCACTGTTGACATTTAAATTGGGACATGGCAGCAGAGTCTGGAGCCTATTTCTAACCTAGGTCTAGATGCTGTTATTAATGTGACATGTCAGACTGAGAGATTGTTTTCATACATATTTGATTGACTTGAGTCAAATGTATGGTTCTACTGGACCAAAATTATGTTCCACTAAAGATGTTTGCAGTAATGATGTAATATTATTTCTCATTCTTATGTTTAAGGTGTAACACAGCTATTCACAACTATTATAAATTATAACTATATAAACCCCACTAAGCCAGTGAGTGAAATGGTTTTTGCCATCTTGTGTTTATTCCAGCTAGTATATACACAATGATATACTGACAAAGAAGTCATTCTTCTGTTCTTTGCTGAAGGCTTTTTAACATTGAATCTGTACTTTTCAGTTCATAAAGTGGAAACTTCATATAAAAATTAGTGACATAGTTGTATGGATTATATCAGATGTGTAGCTTTTACTAACCATGAGATGTTGGTAAAAAAAGATAATGGTGGAAATGTGGTTTGGCAATTTGGAATATGCATAATAGTGTACCTATCTGAAAGGCATAACTTCTTACTCTTCTCAGACATGTAACAAACTTGATTGAAATGTTGCAAGCAGATATGACACTGAGAATGACAATAATATATTTTTCGTTAAGCTGTGATTTAAATAGGCTTTCACTGAGGCTGATATTCATCTCTGTTGAGAGCATGTGTCAGTATATATTCTCAAATTAGAATTACAAATTTCTGAACTCACACAGCAGTCTGGATATAATTTCATGTACATATGTCCAGCTTATTTGTATAGCCCTGTTGTTGGTTTTCCAATTTGTTTTCACAGAAGTGAGATGAAAGTATCTGAGTTATGGTTAATAATGGCAGATAGAAGAGACGCTTATAACAAACTGATAACATCTTGAGCCCTGAGGGAATCACACTAATCGATAATATTCAGTGTACCAAATTCTCGACGATTGCATTATGAGGTTAAAAATACTTTGAATTTACAAGGTCACTAAATGATAGTTCCTCTTATCTCTCACTATATGCAGATCATTAATCTGAGCTCAGTACTTGATAATTTAATCGATTGTAACCATAAACCCCCCACAAAACTCATAACATTATCCAAACGAAACAGGCGCTGATTAATTCAGCAATCGAGACAATTGGGAAAATTTCCGGTTGAGAGACACACTCAAGTATGTTTACGTTTGCAGAGTCAGGAAACTGCATCGGCTGTTTATATCTTGATTTAACAAAATAACCATAAGAAAGATCATTCAAATTAATTTGATTTTAAAGTTCAATTTTTATGAATATTGATTTGTCTGCAGAACCCATTGCTAATTGCTGATGCAAGTGAGATTCAATCGATTGACCAATGTTTTATTTGATTATTCAATCAGTCGCTCCCGCACAACTGAATAACACCAGTGTGAAATAATGTGGAGTAGGTAGCTTGGCTAAATGTGTTACGTTTGGGGTACATCTTCTTATCTGTCTTGTCATTTCTAACTATATGTGACTTGCACAAATACAAAGTTTCTTTCATTGCTGTTTTAACTTGAACATTTCTATTAATTCTAAGAAGAAATGTTCTGTTTTTGTCAGCATGGTCTGTGTTTATCAACATCATTTCAGTGTTCACGAATATCGTCTGACCCTCTGACAAATCCAGCAGGACCGCTTCCGTGGTGTAGTGGCTAGAGCGTCCGCCCGGAGAGCGGAAGGTCACGGGTTCGATCCCCGAGAGCGTCATACCAAAAGACGTTAAAATATGGTACTTGTTGGTCCCTGCCTGGCGCTCGACATTAATGGGTACAACAAGGACTGGTCGGCTTGGAGTCAGTATAATGTGTCTGAGTGGGGTATTCATGCTTCACTGCGGCATGGTATCCCATCGGGCTAGCACTATAAAACTAGCTTAAGTCTGGGCTAGTACAAGCAGCGCATATACACATACACACTCATGCACGTCGTCATATGAGCAAAATATTCTCAAGCACGACGTTAAACCCAATTTCACCTCACCTCACAAATCCGGCAGATTCGCCAACGGTCCGATAGAAGTCTACAACCTGCCGGCCCCAGTGTCTGACTGTATATTTCACAATGACTTTGACTGAATTTGATATGTATGACATGTGCCACTTGTTTGCTGTTTATAAATCTTATGTTCGTTAATAATTTCAATGCCAATTATAAGAAATATTAAATCTGAAATGTGTGTTTAATTTTATTCTATGGGTCCTGTGCATTTTCAATGGGTCAGACAGACATCTGAAACTTACAGGACCCAACGTCCTGTTACTTTGAAACTCCATTCGTGAACACTGCATTTGTCAGTTTTTTCAACAAAAAGTAATACGGTTCTACAATAGTTTTAAGCTATTGGATCTTTACCATTTTTTATGTGGATTTCATTTTGTTGCACAGATGCAGGCAAGTATTTAGATGAGGATTGCAAGTGCCTGGTATAGGATATGAGTGCACAGTTTCCCAGTAACTATGGATACAACCCAGGTGGAGCCCCACCTCCCCCTGGTCCGATGGGTGGGATGCCACCACGCCCAGGTCCCCCTGGTGGCAACATGTACAACCACAACGGTCCTGCCCCACCAATGCAGCCAGGACCCCCAGGTATGTTACACACTAATTGTAGGGATAATCCTGGCACAGAATTGTTGCATATTTGATGCAGTTTGTGTTGAAAATACTCTGGAAAATTTTGCTGTTGGGTCAATTTGACACAAGGACAGGTGAACCAGTTTATAAAGATACTAAGATAAACATTATCACATACTGACTTGGTTATAATAGATTATTAATTGTTTCTGAATTGGTGAACATATTTTGTAACATAAACCCTTTTAAATTAAACAGTTTATTGTACTCATATGACTCATTTGTAGACAGGCAGGGAGTCAAGATAGCTCCCATATTAGGGAGTTTAGGGAAGTGCCTGTAAATGGGATGGAATTTTCATTTCTTTTCAATATTCACACAGACATGAAAACAGTGTTAATTTGGCCTATATGAATCACTTTGATCTGTAAAAACCACTTGCCCTAACTGAATTTAAACTGTGGTTTCTATCCAGGCTGGCTATGGATGGCCCAAATTGCCACTGGTTTGTTAGCACCTATCATGCTTATTGTACTAGTTGTGTTGTTATCGAGTCTGTGATGTTTTGATGGTGACGTTGTTTATTTATAAGATGCCATAACAAAAAACTTTTTAAAGTTTTGAGTTATTTAATTTCACTTCTGTTTTAGGTCCAGGACAATTTGGAGGTGCCCATCCCCCTCAGCCACAGGTGATGAAACCAGGCCCACCTCAGATGGGCCCTGGTCCAACCCAAAATGGGCCTGCTTCTCAAAATGGCCCACCACCAGGCCCACAGGGGGATAACCGATTTGGAGGACCACGGTAAGTGTCAAGATTGTATTAAATGAATAATTGACAGCATTGACATATATAGAATGGATCCATGGAAAGCACGAAGATATTCTATGCCCAGACCAATAACAAGTTTGCATCTCCTAAGTACCTGTTGACTTTTTAGGTGAAAAGTTTCATTGCTCTGACAAATGACTTTACAACCTTTGACCCTTGTTGGACTTTTCATATCTGCTATTCTGACAACTATGTGTGTTATTTCAGGGGTCCAGCACCAGGTCCCCCCAGACCAGGCGCCTCGGGGCCCATGATGGGAGGCAACTTTCCCCCCGGGCCAAACCAGGCACCTATGAGAGGGCCTCCACCACCCAACAGTATGGGAGGAGGCCCACCCAATAGTATGGGAGGAGGCCCACCCAACAGTATGGGAGGGGGACCCCCAAATAGTATGGCAGGGGGACCCCCAAATAGTATGGCAGGGCCACCACAACCCAGCGGTATGGGAGGTGGCCCGCCTCCCCATAGCATGGGTGGTCCTCCAATGGGTCAAGGGCCTCCAACAAGTCAGTTCAATAGTATGAAGATTGCTGATCAGAGAGCACCTGCTCCATCAATGGTAAGTTCAATTTTGCTGCTGATTTTTTAGCAGTATAATGTTACAAAGGATGTGACTGATATTTATTGACAGACATTCAAGAAAGCCGGTTCATATATCAATGTTAAATATTAATCAGTGTTTCATACCATTATCAAACACTTTTAGTTTCAGTGATGTTTTAATTTAGTTCGTTCAATGTTTCTCAATCTCAGAAAACAGATTAAAGTTAGTGTGTATGGTTTCAATAAGTGGCACTCCTGTTAATTTAGTTTGTGGTTTGTTATGTTAATAGGATTGAATCAAATTATTTAGTGAATCATTTTGTGTTTGTACCGATTTCTACTTTTTGTGATGTTGCTTGAAACAAAACAGGTTTCTAACAGTTGGTTATCTTGGAACCCCCCTGAGTGTATTACATTCAATGTAAGGGTTGTTACAAGGACAGCTGCAATGATATGCCTCTTTTAGAACACTGTATGCCAGTTACATAATATATTTTGGTTTTGACCTATTATGTTAAGGTTAAGACAAAACCACATGCTTTTTGTACATAATTTTTAATATTGCCAATATGTGACATGTCATTGTTTAAATCTAAAAGTAGTAAACTTGTATTTCAGGGTGGAAATATGGGCCCTGGTGGTTTTCCTCCCCAAGGAGGAATAAGAGGCCCTCAACCGAACATGGGGCCACCAATGTCATCACATCAACCACCCACCATGGGTTCACAACAAACTAATTTTGGAGCACCAAATATGGCTCCTCCACAGACAAATTTCGGTGCTCCACCAACTAGTATGGGTCCCCCACAAACAAACTTTGGAGCACCACCAGGCATGGGCTCTCCGACTTCTATGGGGGCACCTCCCCAACCAGGGATGCCACCAATGGGGGGACAAGGGTTCCCTCCCACAAGTGCACCACCCACCAGTTTTGGACAGTCTCCTGTGAGCATGGGAGGTGGGATGCCCCCAGGGCCGGGAGCTCAGCCAGGATTCTCCCAACCATCAGGTCCGGGCGGATTCCCTCCTCCTGGTCAACCCGGACCACCCACTAGTCAGTTTGGTGGGGGTTACGTAGGTCCGCAGATGGGACAGGGGATGCCACCTCAACCAGGTGGGCAGCCCGGGAGTCAGTTTCAAGGGGGTGGTGGTCCTCCAGCAGGACCCCAGGGATTCGGCCAGCAGCAATATCAGTACGGTGCAGGAGGACAGAGACCACAGGCACAACCACAGCAACCAAGGAGGTTGGATCCTGACCAGATGCCAAGTCCAGTAAGTTCAATACCTCAGATTGGAGGGTTACATTTAATGATCAGATCATCACTCAACAAAAACTACCCATGAAGGTCCGGGTTAGAATGAACCTTAACCCATGCTTGTCGTAAGAGGCGACTAACAGGATCGGGTGGTCAGGCTCGCTGACTTGCTTGACACATGTCATCGGTTCCCAGTTGCGCAGATCTATGCTCATGCTGTTGATCACTGGATTGTCTGGTCCAGACTCGATTATTTACAGACCGCCACCATATAGCTAGAATATTGCTGAGTGCGGCGTAAAACTAAACTCACTCAACAAAAACTAAGTCAAAGCATTGAAGTGGCATCATTTTCCATGTTTTAAGTATATTGTATTTTGTAAGAGGCTGTCTAAAGTTTGTTTCACAGAACACTTTTTTTTCCAAGAAAAAATCGGCTGATTTCAATATGAAACTGGGGAGGTGGGGTAGTGTAGTGGTTAAAGCGTTCGTTCGTCACGCTGAAGACCCGGGTTCGATTCCCCACATGGGTACAATATGTGAAGCCCATTTCTGGTGTCCCCCGCCGTGATATAGCTGGAATATTGCTAAAAGCGGCGTAAAACTAAACTCACTCACTCACTCAATATGAAACTGAGTAGCGTGTTTCGTGAAAATGAGTGATTCAGAGATTTTGTCTGTTCCAGATTCAAGTGATTGAAGATGATAGAAGGAATCGGAGTGGATTATTCCAGACAAATGCAAAAGGAACAGTTCCACCCTTGGTTACCACAGAATTTAATATTCAAGACCAAGGTGAGTTTTGATAGTAGTTAAAGGTAACCTATTCATTTATTGCATAACCTTTGTGATAATTTTTGCAATACTTATCTCTGTGGTCTTGTGAACACAGTGTCTGCTGAGAGATTGGAAGGTTGGTGGTTGGAACCACAGCTGTGTCATACCAAAGAAGATAATAGATGGTACAGTTATTGCCAGGTCTGATTTCCTGCAATGATGGGATTATACAATGGCTGTTTTCCTTTCAGTTGTTATACTGTGTCCGAAGGCGATGTCTATATTGAACCTCCATCATGCCCATCATGAAATTGGGGTTGTCCCAGTTCCTTTAGATTTGGGGCGGTGGGGTAGCCTAATGGTTAAAGCGTTGGCTCGTCACCCGGAAGACCCGGGTTCAAATCCCCACATGGGTACAATGTGTGAAGCCCATTTCTGGTGTCCCCGCCGTGATGTTGCTGGAATATTGCTAAAAGCGGTGTAAACCAAACTCAGTCAGTCAGTCCTTTAGATTTGCTACTGTAGGATTTAAGTCTAGAGTTTCAACCAGCTCCCATTGCTTCATGTGGAACTCTGTTTCAATGAATATCCTATTTTCTGTTAAATAACTTTTCTTCCATTTCATTTTCAGGAATGAGCAACCCTCGTTTCATCCGCTCAACAATGTATAATGTGCCTTGCACATCCGACATGATTAAATCAAGTCATATCCCCTTTGCTCTCTCCATCACTCCATTTGCCAAACTGCCTGACTCAGAGGTAACTATACACTTTAATGATAATCTGTTAGTCTTCTGGATGATGACTGTGTGTATACACTTTAATAATAATCTGTTAGTCTTCTGGATGATGACTGTGTGTATACACTTTAATAATAATCTGTTAGTCTTCTGGATGATGACTGTGTGTATACACTTTAATAATAATCTGTTAGCCTTCTGGATGATGACTGTGTGTATACACTTTAATAATAATCTGTTAGTCTTCTGGATGAAGACTGTGTGTATACACTTTAATGATAATCTGTTAGTCTTCTGGATGATGACTGTGTGTATACACTTTAATAATAATCTGTTAGTCTTTGGATGATGACTGTGTGTATACACTTTAATAATAATCTGTTAGTTTTCTGGATGAAGACTGTGTGTATACACTTTAATGATAATCTGTTAGTCTTCTGGATGATGACTGTGTGTATACACTTTAATGATAATCTGTTAGTCTTCTGGATGATGACTGTGTGTATACACTTTAATAATAATCTGTTAGTCTTCTGGATGATGACTGTGTGTATACACTTTAATGATAATCTGTTAGTCTTCTGGATGATGACTGTGTGTATACACTTTAATAATAATCTGTTAGTCTTCTGGATGATGACTGTGTGGAACGTTTGTCTGAAACCAAGAACTTTACTTTGTAACTCATGATCTGTTAGTCCAAATGCATTCACTGGGTTTTAAGGGTGGATGGAGTGTTTGCTCCCAGCTTCTAAGGGCTGGGTTGAGTCTCATTATGTAAAATGTCTGACACAGTGTGCGGAATTTATGCTGGTCCTGTGGTCCCTGGGTAGTAAAAATTCATCAGGACCACTAAATGATGAGATTGCAGTGGTCCTGGTGGCCAGTGAATTTTGTATTGATAGTTAAGTAAATCTATGAATGTTATTTTGGACCAGTGAAGAACAGACAGGACCACGAATGATTGTCCACTCATGTGGAAATTTTGAAAGGTTTCTTTCCCTGCTGGCGCCCATTTATGGAGTTCCTTCTGTGGTTGTACCAGAATATTACTAAATGCAGAATAAATGTGTTTTGAGGTGTTTGATGTATTTATAGTTTGTTTGAGAAGAACATTAAAGAAACAATGATAGTGATTTATTATATCCATCATTTGATACTGAATTTGCAGTGCACTTTCATGTGCATAGTGGGGTGGTGGGATAGCCTAGTGTGTAAAGCGTTCGCCACATGGGTAAAATGTGTGAAGCCCATGTCTGGTGTCCCCCGCCGTGATATTGCTGGAATATTGCTAAAAGTGGCGTAAAATCAAACTCACTCACTCATTCATGTGCATAGTACATAAAGGAAAAGTATAAACCTTAAAGACAATATATAGCATGCATTACAATATGCATTGTGTGTGTATTTTTCAATATACTTGTGAACTCTATATGACAAATATCACAGGTTTCTATTAAGGTAAACAAAAGAATGTCAAGACTGATTAACTGTAGTTAAGTGAAAGGATTTAGGGACTTCTTAGAAGTTGTATATGATTATAATTGTTATTGCTTTATCATGTTTATGTCTGTGTGTATTCCCATGATTTCCGTGTACCCGTGAAGGTCCTGGTTAGAATGAGCCTTCAGTAACCCATGCTTGTCGTGAAATGGCAACTAACGGGATTGGGTGGTCAGGCTCGCTGGCTTGGTTGACACATATCATCGATTCCCAGTTGCGCAGGATCGATGCTCATGCTGTTGATCACTGGCTTGTCTGGTCCAGACTTGATTATTTACAGACCGCCGCCATATAGCTGGAATATTGCTGAGTGTGGCGTAAAACTAAACTCACTCACTCATGATTTCCATGGAAACAATTTGTACTCAAAAAGGGGTGGATTTTGTTTTTTTAGCATACCAAAAAAATCGCTCAATATCTATCAATAAAACTTTGCGTATATATGAGGCAGATCCCAAAGTGGTGCCTTTTGCTGTTTGCAGATTTTGGGCATTTATTTATTTCTCGGTCTTCATGGAAATGATTCTGACTTAGTCTCAAAAGGGAGGGGCTTCTTTTGCGGAGCACAACTCGAAAACAGTTAAGCGTCTTTCTACATGACTTGGCAGACATATCAAACAGTTCTTGAAGTGATGCTTTTTGTTATTTGCAGAATTTTGGCAATTATGTTTTTCATGATTTCCATAGATACGATTTGGATTTAGTCTAAAAAAATCATGTTTGACTTTAAGTGTCAGATGATTTGTTCTTTCAAATTTGTGGGGGCTGGGGGGATTTGTCATCTTCTGATGACTCTTGTTTGTTTTGAATAATACTGTTGATCTTGTTTTTACTGAAATGATTTCTTTTTTTAGATTTTAAATTTGTGAAGATAAACAGTTGTGAGGCTTCACTTCACTGTTCTTTTTTAATCTTTTAACCAGCAAGTACCCCCTCTGGTAGACTTGGGTGAACTTGGGCCTGTGCGCTGCAAGCGATGTAAAGCCTACATGAATCCCTTTATGCAATTTATCGACGGTGGGAGGAGATTCCAGTGTGTTTTCTGTGGAGCTGCTACAGAAGGTAGGGCACTTGACGATATGAGTAATTTTTCCTTATCCTGACTCATGCTTATTGCTTGTCTCCCTTTCCTTCCGAATGCTAGTGGAACACTTGAATCCCCTTTTGAAGCTCCCTTAATAAAGCGGACGTAAAATCACTTACCAGGAGTCATCTCCCTTCCCAAGGTTTTGGCGGGAAAACGGCGCCACCTGTCACCATGCTCCTCACTCTCTCCTGATTCGCCCGAGTGGACGGTTGTGAGAGCGCCGGAGGAAAAATAGGTCTCCAGTATTGCATGCTGGTGAAGGAAACTAAAATTTTCAGTCCCTTAGTCTTTATAATGATAACGTGTAGTGACACCCTTAACAATGGCAACATGATACCTTACAGTTGGGCAGTTTGCAAGGACTATAGTCTATAGACAAGTAGTATATTTGTTTGCAAGGACTATAGTCTATAGACAAGTAGTATATTTGTATGTGCATGCTTGCAGGTTGTATTGATCATTTTACCATGTCCAGGCAGCAGGCATGCTTTATCATGTTTATCAGATTTCCTGTTTGTTTTTGTGTTTTTTTGTAAGTTGTGAATGTTGACTTCAGAATAAGAGACTTTTTGAAACATTGCAGTTCCAGCCGAGTACTTCGCACACCTTGATCACACTGGGCGTCGGGTGGATTGCTACAACAGGGCTGAGTTGTGTTTAGGAACATACGAGTTCACAGCCACCAAAGACTATTGTAAGGTAAGTTACCGTGGTACTGAAACAATGGACACTACGTAGGAGTAGGCTAGTCTTGTGGTTAAAGGTTTACTTGCAATGCTGAAGAGCTGCATTTGATTCTTCACTTGGGAACAGTATGTGGAGCAGGTTATCGTTAAAGAATTTACTTGTGACACTGAGGAACTGAGTACATTGCCATGTGGGAACAATGTATGGAGCCCATGTCTAGTTTTCCACTTGGAACATTTCTAATAGCAGTAGTCCACCTTGTTCACCCAATCCACAGGACACTGTTGTGCTTGATTAGATATCCATGTCAGATGTTCCTTCTTGAATGGGGTGTGGGGTAGCCTAATAGTTAAGGCGGTTTCTTGGTACATCTAAGACCTGGGTTCGATTCCCCACATGGGTACAATGTGTGAAGCCCATTTCTGGTGTCCCCTGTTGTGATATTGCTGGAATAATGCTAAAAGCAGCATAAAACTAAACGCACTCACTCACTCTCTCCCAGGTAGAGGTAGGGATAGTGTCCTGTGGGGATATTGTTTGCTGTGTAGATGTGATGTGTGATGTAGATGCTGATGTCACATTTGTTTGGGTTACAGAACAGTGTTCTACCCAAAGAGCCAGGTTTCATCTTCATGATCGATGTCTCCTACAACAGTGTGAAGAGTGGGTTAGTCCAGCTTATCTGTGACAACCTCAAGGAAGAAGTCCTCGTCAACTTGCCCAAGTAAGTAGCGGCTAGCACCATGTAAAACTTCCATGTTGTGAATGCTTCTACCATAAGGAAGATTTTATCTAGAAAATATCTTTATATCATGCATATAGTGAACTTGAATTCTATATATAAATGAAAAGTATAACAAAACCATAGGGTGTGACCAAGGTATTTTGAAGTCAATTTCATTCCAAATCATCTGAATTAACAAATTTTTCAAATAACAAATCATAAATGCATTGATGTAGCCCATTTTGATCAATGAACTTTCTTATCAGTAGTGGGGCGGTGGGGTAGCCTAGTGGTTAAAGCGTTCGCTCGTCACGCCGAAGGCCGGGTTCGATTCCCCACATGGGTACAACTTGTGAAGCCCATTTCTGGTGTCCCCCGCCGTGATATTGCTGGAATATTGCTAAAAACGGCGTAAAACCATACTCAGCCAGTCTTATCAGTAGTTGTCTGGAGTCTGGATTAGCAGAATCATTGCAAGTTAATAACTCATTAAGTTACTGATAGTAAATGAAATGTTTGTCTTTCAGAGAGACTGGTATGGATGAATCGGAGATCAGGGTTGGATTTGTAACTTACCACAAAGAGTTACACTTCTACAATGTTAAGGTAAGAAGTAACCCCCTGTTTGATCATTTCTTCAGCAGAAGACCAATTATCACTGTCTGCCTATTCTCTCTATCTTCTTTAGATTTTAGTATTATGGACTATGCATGAAGTATAAAGAGCCAAATAAACTTTTACTGGAGAAAGACTGTTGACAAGTATTAAGCATATGCTAATGTATGTTTCAGAGTTCTCTGGCTCAGCCTCAGATGCTTGTTGTGTCAGATGTGGATGACATGTTTGTCCCCTTGTTGGATGGATTTCTAGTCAAATTGTCCGAGTCAGAAGCAGTTATTGACAGGTGAGCTTCACCACATGCAGTACCAGGGATGTTTTCTGGACCTGACCAGTGGCCGATTTGTTTACCCCAACTTGTAACCAGTGTCAGTGCATTAGCTGGTTGCACCAGTGACATTTTTGTTTGTAGAACCAAAATGTATTTCAAACTTAGCAGGCCCACTTCCTAAAAGGCATCATGTCTTCATAGCTTTTGGCCATGGGAGCCAAGCCAACTTACACTTGTTACATTAACTTTATCACATTTTGCCTTTTTCAGTCTCTCCTTTACTTGTCATGTTCAGAAGTCTTGTGTTACATTGATCATTGGTATTTGAATTCCATTGTTTAATTTTCTTTACAGCCTCCTTGCCCAGATTCCAGTGATGTTTGCAGAATCGAAGGAGACGGAGACAGTGTTTGCTCCTGTTGTCCAGGCTGGACTGGATGCCTTGAAGTCTGCGGACAGGACAGGCAAACTGTATATTTTCCACACGACGCTGCCCATAGCCGACGCCCCTGGCAAACTGAAGAACAGGGATGACAGAAAACTACTGGGCACAGAGAAGGAGAAGGTGAGTCTGATTTGGAGGTTAGAATTGGTCATCCAACCAAACCTCGTTTTAAGTGGCAACTAAGGGATTGGTGGTAATGCTTGCTGACTGGGTTGATACGAGCCATCTTGTCATGTAGATTGATGCAGTCACTGGATTTTCTGGTGCAATTGTTACTTTATTATTTACAAACTGTGAAAAAACCTAGAAAAATGCTCCATGCAGCATGAACCAACCAACCAACAGTTCCTGATGTGTGAATATTTGTTTCAGGCAATCCTGACTCCCTCCAGCAACTTCTACACCAAGCTGGGGCAGGAGTGTGTGGCTGCAGGCTGCAGCGTGGATCTGTTTCTCTTCCCCAACGCCTACACGGACATCGCCTCCATGGGGGAGGTGTGTCGACTCACATCAGGCAACATGTACAAGTACAGCTACTTCCAGGTATGTCCTGATAATGTAACTCTTGTTATGTGCATTTTGTATTTATTAAAGTCCTGATTTTCAAATGAGGCAGTATGGTAGCTTAGTGGTTAAAGTGTTTTGCTTGTCACGCCGAGGACCCAGGGTCAGATCCAAAATGGATACAATGTGTGAAGCCTATTTGCTGTGAAATGGCTGCAGTATTGCTAAAAGTACTAAAACCATTCTCTCTGATTTTCAGAGTATTTTCTTTGTTCCTTTGGGTTTGTTCTTAAAATGTTCATGACTTTTATTGATGAATTTCATTGACGTGGGATGAAAATGATTTTGTTGTGCAGGCTGATATAGATGGAGAGCGTTTCATTGAGGATCTGAAGCGGAATGTGATGCGGCCAATTGCATTTGATGGCATTCTAAGAGTCCGAACTAGTCAGGGTGAGTGTTATGACTTCTTGTATTTCATTTTCACCATATTGATCACAGGATCATCTGACCCAGATTCAATTATATGCATGTTGCTGTCATATAGGTGGTGGGATATAGCTTAATGCCAATTTTGTATTATTTCAATTAATTGGAACACTAGTTAGTTGTAAGGACAATATTTTTATACAATATTTATTACTTTTTCAGGCATACGCCCTGTAGATTTCTTTGGCAACTTCTTCATGTCAAACACAACAGATGTGGAAATGGCTGCCATCGATTGTGACCAGTCCATCAATGTTGATATTAAGCATGATGACAAACTGAACGAGGCAGAAGGTGCTTATGTACAGGTAAGGGTTTAAATATTACCAGAATCTCATGATGTGGCAAAACCAAAAAGCAAAAAATGTCATGCCATTCACCTTTACCTGTGTTTGTAAAATAAGTGCCTAAGATTTGGTTTGGCTCATGTTCGAAAAAAGATTACATGGATTTTTGCTTAACACTATCAGTCACTGGATTTTCTGGTCCAGACATAATTATTTACAGGCCTTCATTGTAAGCTAAACCAGAGTGCACCATTAAACAGCATACAAGCATAATGATAATGAGATATTTATTCTGTTCTCCCAATGACTGTTCATCATAAGTTGTTTGAGTACTTTTGTTCATACCGAAACCTGCATTATCAGTTTGGCAATTGTTTTTCTCATTAGTGCTGTGTTCTGTGATGTTTTGACACAGAGAGGTATTTGTCATTCATCTGAAGGACCAGCGGTATCGAGAAAAATATCACTTGTCCATTACTGGACCTTGACACAATTGTGTATGGCCATTTGTTGACTGAATTATCTAGACATGATTGTAAATGGCCATTTGTTGACTGCATTATCAGGACATGATTGTAAATGGCCATTTGTTGACTGAAGTATCGGGACATGATTGTAAATGGCCATTTGTTGACTGAATTATCTAGACATGATTGTAAATGGCCATTTGTCGACTGAATTATCTAGACATGATTTAAATGGCCATTTGTTGACTGAATTATCTAGACATGATTTAAATGGCCATTTGTTGACTGAATTATCTAGACATGATTGTAAATGGCCATTTGTTGACTGAATTATCTGGACATGATTGTAAATGGCCATTTGTTGACTGAATTATCTGGACATGATTATTTGTTGACTGAATTATCTGGACATGATTGTAAATGGCCGCATTGTTGACTGAATTATCTGGACATGATTGTAAATGGCCATTTGTTGACTGCAAATTATCTGGACATGATTGTAAATGGCCATTTGTTGACTGAATTATCTGGACATGATTGTAAATGGCCATTTGTTGACTGAATTATCTAGACATGATTGTAAATGGCCATTTGTTGACTGAATTATCTGGACATGATTATTTGTTGACTGAATTATCTAGACATGATTGTAAATGGCCATTGTTGACTGAATTATCTGGACATGATTGTAAATGGCCATTGTTGACTGAATTATCTGAACATGATTGTAAATGGCCATTTGTTGATTGTAAATGGCCATTTGTTGACTGAATTATCTAGACATGATTGTAAATGGCCATTTGTTGACTGAATTTTCTGGACATGATTGTAAATGGCCATTTGTTGACTGAATTATCTAGACATGATTGTAAATGGCCATTTGTTGACTGAATTATCTAGACATGATTGTAAATGGCCATTCGTTGACTGAATTTTTTAGACATGATTGTAGAAGGCTGCAGTAATTACGGTGGAATATTTCCAAGGGTGGTTTCAAGCAGCAAGAAAACATGTTCTCATTAAATGTTGCCATTCCAGGTTGCAGTGTTATACACAACAGTGGCTGGCCAGAGGCGGTTACGAGTTCACAACCTTGCCTTCAACTGCTGCACGCAGATGGCAGACCTCTTCCGCAGCTGTGAGCTGGATGTTCTGGTCAACTACCTATCAAAATACAGTACGTAATTCTCCCGTGGCACAGCTGGGACATTGTTGAGTGTGGTATTAAGCAACAGACACTGCATAATAGTGGTAGTCCCTCTTCAGTTCCCAGCGTTCGCTTGTCACGCAAAGACACGCGTTCGATTCCCCACATGGGTACTATGTGTGAAACCCATTTCTGGTGTCCCCCACCATGATATTTTGAATATTGCTAAAGGGGTGTGACTCACTCCCTTTCTACATTGTACAACAGAGATGATGAGAATGGACCTCTACCAGCCCACCCACTCAATGGAAGTCCTGGGCCGAACAGACCGTGCTCATTCACTGACTCTTCAGTTCCCTGCTTTGACAAAATGTGTGGCGCCATTACTTATTGTCACTTGCCATCATGTGTTCAAAGTGTACTAAAATTCTTCTCAGTATTTCTTTTTCAACCGAACTGTAATGATTTGATTTGTACAACAGAGCTGATCATGATAATTGTAATTCAATTTTATATGTCTATGATTCTCTAACATGTCAGCGATTCCTTTTCAGCCATCAGGAGCACGCTCAATTCGAACCCCAAACAGGTGCGTGAGTATGTGATGAACGAGGTAGCCCAGATCCTGGCTTGCTACAGGAAGAACTGTGCAAGCCCCTCGTCAGCTGGGCAACTCATCCTCCCAGAGTGTATGAAGCTCCTCCCTCTCTACGCCAACTGTGTCCTCAAAAGTGATGGAGTGCAGGGAGGTAAGTCGGCATATTCTTTGTCCTTGTCTGGTTTTGGTCTTACATTGAAACACTCCCCGACTGGGATATTTGTCAGAAGATGGCATCAATGCTGTTAGTTTTCTATGGTGTGACTAATTACAGTTGTCACAATGTGTGCCAAGGCTGGAGTGGACCATTACACAAGTTTTACTGGCCCGGTCTAGATCGTCAACATGATATGATGACAGACTCAACACAACACTTGCACATTAAACACTTGGCACTCACTTATTCAGTTGTAACACTTCAAGCAGCTGCAAATATGCTAATGAACTGGAATCATCATTAAAAAATAAGAAAAGCAAAAGCAAAACATTACCCACATTTTCTTTTCTTTTAATTAATGAAACTTTTAATCAATGAAGTAGATTTGGTGAACAACATAAAAATACTCTCTTGCCTAAGTTTGATTTGATTCTATTTGATGTTTTTCCACCATTCAAGGTTCGGAGATATCAACAGATGACCGCAGCTATCTGATCCACCTCATCAACTCAATGAATGTTGAATCGTCCAATGTCTTCTTCTACCCTCGTCTCATGCCACTCGTAAGTGCTCTGCTCCCTACTGACAAGTAGTACAGCTATTTCACAATTGCACAACTGTTGCATTAACTCATGAAAACACTTATGTACATTTTCAAGTTTGGTCCGTAAGTCATTTGCTGATTGTCTTATGTATGTCAATGTTTCGTCCTAAAATTGTGAGGTTTTGAATTAATCTGATACCTTCCTGACTTTCAGCATGAAATAGATTTGGATGGAAACGACGACCCAGCAGCTATCCGCTGTTCACATGAACGCCTGCAGGATTCCGGGATTTACCTCCTAGGTATGTTTGTCAGCTTGTTCTGTTCATGTCTGTCCATGCAGTCACTTGATAGAGTTGTGACCCTTTGTGTACCAGTCTTTGCTGTTATCTTTTGTCTGTGAAGTGGTAAATGTCTCTTACCCCCCAAGTTAAACTGACATGTTATGATAATATTGCTCAAAGTTATGTTAAACTAGATTTGGCTATGTCGCTCAAATGTATCGCGGCACCTGGTAGTTTTAACAAGCAACTGACAGAATCTCATTCTCTTGCCCTTTGTTATATCCTTATTGCTTGGATCGATATTCGTGAAGTCAATCACTGGATTATGTGGCCTCGATTATTTAACAATATAGCTGGAATATTGCTGAGTGGTGTGTTACATATTACACGAGCAAATGTAAACATTGTCACTAACTTCTAGTGTTTCGATTTGTAAACATTTACACATGCAAACACGATTGCATTCATGTGATGTCATCTTATTACCTCAAATTTCTTATTCTTTCCAGAAAATGGACTCTCAATGTTTGTGTGGATCGGTCACAATGCTGATCCTGACTGGATACATAAGATCTTTGGAGTTCAAAGTGCAGCTCAAATTGATATAGATAAAGTGAGTACATGCATTACATTGAACACTGAAGATAGTTGCCATGTATTTTGTAGAAGTTCACAAATTTACTGTTGTATTTTAGAAGCATCGCTTCCTTTTCTTAGTCAGGTGCAGGAATGCTGATACCTGTTTATGTTACTAAGGTATACTTCTACTACTGGTGGTGGGCTAGCAAATAGTTAAAGTATTCGCTCATCATGCCAAAGATTCCCAGATCGGTACAATCTATGAATCCCATTTCTCGTGTTACCTGCTGTGATATTTCTGGACTCTTGCTAAGAGTGGCCTAAAACTTCACTCGCTTTCATACCGATTATGAGTTATCACAACTCGCCTAGTAATAGTGAGTGTGGCATCTGATAAAAAGAAGTTGGTTGTTCCCCAACATTGGTATCTGTGCAGCGTGACATATTAGCAGTTATGGAGAACAATAGACATGGTTTCCATTCTTGACTGAGACTTATGGGCAGATGAGAGCAGGGTTGAGTACTGACGGCATAACTCTAGCCAAGATGTTGAACCATGGTGCTGCACATGTGCAGGGTTTGTTCCCAAGACAGCGTAGTGAGTCTGTGATGCCAAGGTGCCTTCTATTGGTATTTTCCTTCAGTGAAGATGGAAGTTGAGGTGTTGTTTACTAGTGTTGGACAAGTTGAGATGATTACGACTATTATATACCAGAGAAAGGAATTACCATTAATTAGTTGTGTTTTCCAACAAGTTTGGTTGTATGCCTGTCTTAGGAGTGTGATAACTGGTAGTCTGGACTTTGTACTTTGTGATCACTTTCTGAAAATCTGCTGAGCATGTCTTGGAGATCTATCGTTCCAGTGTGAACTGATATCTTTTGTTATAGGCTGTTGTTAAGTGTCCTCTGTATGTTTTTAGTGCCAACTGCTGCCCCTGGACAACCCAATCTCACGGCGGGTCTGTGAAACTATTTCAAGAGCAAGAGGCAAGAGGAATCGCTTCCTGAAGGTATGAACCTCTACACCATATGGCGACTTTCCCATACGTACAAGCATTGTTTCCTATAGTAGAACAAGAACATCTCTGTATTCACATGATAGAAATAGTAACCAATATAATTTTGAACATAAAACTTTCACTTTAACTTGTCTAAAAGTTTTCGGATTATATCTCAATGGCAGCTCTTTTTCATGTCTTGCATTGAATTTGAAGATCTTAGATGGGCATTATTGTAAATAATTCCAGTTTTATCTTGAGCAGTTTGGTTTACCAACCCCATTTGTAGGGTCCAAGGTTTCACCAAATATCCAGTATCTGCAATACTTTAGGCAAAGCAGCCTTAACCCTAACTCACTTTATATCCATAACTGCCAACAGTTGACCTTGACCTTCTAAGGATGTATGTACTACTGTCCCTTGCCCGAGTTGTGAAAACCCTTCAGTTGGCGTTTCTCAGTAAAGTACAGATTCTGGTACTTCTGTAGGGTGAAGTCCATTTTGAAGGTTCTTTACGGGGTTGTTGTCGTATACTCAGTAATTCTTTGGTAAAAAATAGCGTACCCAAAAGATTTATTACATTGTTTACACAAATCCATGTCTTGTTTTCAGCTGACAATTATTCGCCAGCGTGACAAACTAGAACCGTGGTTCAATCATTTCTTGGTGGAAGACAAGGGACTGAATGGAAGTGCCTCTTACGTGGATTTCCTGTGTCATATACACAAAGAGATTCGCAATATTCTCAGTTAATAACTACCTACAAAGTCTGTGGATGACACACCCAATCTTTCATCTGAAGTCCAGAGTGCCAGAAGACTAGTGATACCGGACATGCTTATCAACACAGTTGTCTTGAATAGTAACAAAATATGACAAGACAATGTTCGCAAACTGAAGTGCAACCTTGTGAAACTGTTATGTTTTAAGACAAATGCTGTCTCGCACGGAGATGTTAGGATGAGAGTGGAATAAGTCAGTTCTTAATTCAAAGAATTTACTTGTATGTTTTACGATCTTTTGTAACAGTGTATGTATGAATTATTTCAAAGATATATCGTCAGCCAAGCAGCTGAAGCATGTGGATTGTGCAAACTGATCTGTTGATAGCTTAGGACAAATCAAACATTATATTGTGCTGTCATGAAAAATACCAATGTGGGGGTAGAGAGATAAGATTGGGGTGATAATATAGCGATACAGTATTTTGTGTGGTACTGTATCGCAGTACGAATCACCATGGTTGTTGTGATCAACAGTTGGTGCAATCAATATTTGAAGTTGTTGGAGACATGTACCGTTCAAAATGGTTAGGGATCTTGAATATTTTGGGGTATATTACATATGAAAGTGTGCGCTCAGTCTTCATTACAAAACGTCCCCCAAAATATGATCCGTAACCTTTTTGTTCAGTATGTGATTTATTTTATCTCTCATTTTGTTTTAGGAACATTTGTCTGTGAATGGAAGCATGTTTGACTGTTACTTTGTTACCATATTTTAACCACTGTACATAAAATCCTGCTTTGTAAATAGGTTCAGTTGACACTGTACATTCTACACAATCAGTCTTTAATGCATATTTATTGTGTGTACATCACAAGATCGTGACTGCATCGCTTTAAGTGGTCATGTTCAACACGGTGACATGGTCATAAATTTCATATCTTCAGTCAGGGCTGTAGAATATACAGAGTAGCTGCTGATCAGCATATGTAGGAGTTTGTGCCATGAGCTAATCAAATTAGGTCCAGTATACAAAACCGGTAATTGTCGGAGTGGTTCTGATTGTGTTGATAAATCTCATGAATTGACTACTTAACATCAGATTATAATACACTCGGAACAGTTTAACTAGATATCAAATCATGACATGCTTACAGATTAGGAGCTCTAGTCTTTTTCTGTTACTGACGTAACCATGGTAACGAGAACCCCCTGATCATCACCGAATGCTAATGTAGTTACATCTCTGCTGTACAATCGATATGCATGCTGCAGTCCACTGACCAAGCCTGTATTATACAGTGGAAAAATAAACCAATATTTTGTCGCTCCATGTTATGTTTTTATGAATAATATGAAAGATAAACTTGTGGCATTCTAATGGTTAAATGGTGCACGTGTTGTCCATGGCACTACATTTCAGTGTTCAAATCCTTGTTTACTGAGGGGTGGTGGGGTAGCCTGGTGGTTAAAGCGTTCACCGAAGACTCCACATGGGTACAATGTGTGATATCCATTTCTGGTGTATACCCCTGCTGTGATATTGCTGGAAATTTTGCTAAAAGCGGCCTAAAACTCACTCACCTTGATCAGCTCAATGGTCTCAGCAAACTATTTTTTTTTTTTCACACTATACAAATACAACAAATTGGACATTAAGACCCACTTCATCCATCAGTAACCAAGAACACATCACTATTTTATTTGCGTTAACTTTATTTATGTCAAGTATTCATCTGTCTATGCACATTATCCCTCAATACAATATCGTCATGGTGACAGTAGTATATATACTGTATCTGCACAAGGTCATTTTGGTGAAATCCAAGAACTTACTTATGTGTGGAGGAAGATACCCCATAAACAAAATCCCAGTTTTCAAAACAATTTCTTGCAGAGGTGGATTATGAGTACAACTTTATATTTACGTCACTTTGAAAATGATGCTGAACAAATAGTTACATATGATGGACAAAATGCATAAATAAATAACTTATAATGCTGACACAAATCTGATCTATGGTAATGACATGTGAGGACTTGTAACAACACTTTGTAGCACTGGACATTTGTAAGGAAAAGCTTGTAATTTACCCTGAACCTAGTACACTATATACCCAGATCTCTTATCGCTAACTTCTTACAGTACATATCTCACTCATGAGCTAAAAAAAACTTAATCCCACTTCTGCTAACATTCACATTAGAAGACCATGCTCTCTTCAACAACAAAATTAGACTATTCTAACTAAATGTAGAAGGTCAGAGCAAAATTCTTATTGAATTATTTTCCTGTTGCGACACAACAGTGAGCAGATGAAATTTAGATCTGAAGTTGGGCACTTGCAGGGCTATGGAAATGAAACTTTCTTGCACCTAATGCAACCGTAGGTAATAACCTTGTTGAACCAGACAAAAACAGGCTGCACCTGCTGCTCAGTATTAAATATATAATACCAAATTGAGTTTGGGTTTTTACTGGGGTAGCCTTGTAGTTAAGTGTTCGCTTGTCGCCCCAAAGACCCCACATGGGTACAATGTGTGAAGCCCATTTCTGCTGTCCCCCTGACGTGATATTGCTACAAGCAGCATAAAACCATACTCACTCACTTATTCAATCACTGTCTGTGTTGTCGTCAGTCACTTTTTTTAAACATCAGAACTGGATGCAAGTGGGGATAAACGCTGATTCAGGTTGCGTGAGTGCAAAGTCTAAATGTGTAAACTACGCCTCAAGTTATGATACAAGACACAACACAGTGAGTGGAATGAAGAGCAAGATGGGGCTACTACATTATACAGGATTGTATTTGCCTTCAGCAATATTGCAGTTATATCCAAGGACCCTGTCAGTAATCAAATCTGGACTGGGTAATATGAAATGCCCTAACAACATATTCAATCTTATCAGCTCTCATGACCAGCAGTAGATTGATATTGGTCCCTGAGAGAAAAACATGTCATAGACAGGGACATTGTTAAACAGGAAAATGACTCACTTCTACACGACAAAACACAGTCACCATGTCATGTGCACAAAGCTGTAATAGTATCCCTACCAATATTACACCTACTTCACAATATGATTACAATGGTCAGGTTATAAAAATCGTTTTGTGCAATTAGAAATGAATGCAAACAGACTCAACACACAATAACTTCCTCGCATAACTATAGCACAATATTTCATATAAAAATATATTAAAAATTTCTAATGCCACTTTCAGAGTTGTACCTGCAGCATCAAATACATCAATGTACAATAACGTGTTTAAAATTACCATGCTCACAGTCAATATAAAACTACTATTCACATACAATGTATCTTAACAGAAAATGTCTTCAATAAATATGGACAAACAGGACTTATACATATTTACATCACAGCCCAGACTAAAACCAAGGCAGAAAATAAAACCGTGCCAATTCCTACATCTTAAGTGTGACAACAGCCTGTACTAAGCTCAACAAAGTCTGGATTGAGAAAAAAAGCTTCTAATATTATTTTGAACAGAATTGTTTTCAGGAAATGACAAAACAAGAGAGAATTATCCCCAGTTAATTATTTTAAATTGTTTCAGGACCTCAGTCTCCCCTGCTGTTATATTGCTAAAAGCATCATAAAACTGAACTCACTCACTCATTCAGAATCAGTCTATATTCTGGCCATGTCCTGTCTATATGTATGATAAATGAACAACTCGTAGACAAGTTCTTCATACTTGCAGTTCCAATGCCAATGCTAATGAGGTGCCATTGTTTTCTTTTCTTTCTGATAGATAACTGAGATATAATTCTGTTGACCTGCGTGTTTAGTGATGGAATATACTGAATGTGAAGTTTGCAAAACAACCTTTACCAAAACCCAAAACCCCAAGTGATTTGTTGTTATGAATATAGACCGTCCATGAAATTGAAAAGAAAAAAAATGACCTATGTTATAAATAAAGGATAAAAATCACTAAGCTCAGCATCCCATTTGAGCATTCCAGACATATTTTCTGAGCACTGTCCAGAACTCCAGTTCTTCATAAGCTGTTCATGGCAACTCATGAGAAGGTTTGACAGAGGACATTCAGACTTGTTTCTTTCAGTGACATGCCGATGTTGTCAAAGTAGTGGTGGAACCTAAAACATCATGAATACATTAAAATAAAAAAGAGAGCAACAGCGAAATAAATCAAAATAAACACCTGGAGTGGGTAAACATTGGGAAAATTATTTATCATTTTATTTTGATGTCAGGTTTTTAAAAGTAGTCATACTGGTATAGAAGAAAAGCTTACATACAGGTATAATATTAGCTAGCTTACATTCAAAATAATGTACGACAGTGTGATTATCATGTAAATATCGGCTAAGTTGAATTTAGGTTAAAACAAACATAAAATAAATATGTATTATGTAATAAGACTATGATTCTGTCACACATACCTTCTTTTTGTTTTGGCAATTTGCCGATGCTGCTCTGCTCGACTGATGGCCCTGACGGATGGGAGATAATCCATGTGAACTGAGCGATGACTGCAGTGGATGTTCAATGGTAGACTGTCAGACACATTCTCGTGAGTTCTCTTAATAGATCCTGACAACCTGTAATAAGCAATCATCAGCTGAAACCCACAGCACAGAAACATATTTTGCTGGCCTACATGTATCTAATCTTACTAGGGGTCACTAACATCAACGGGAAAAAAAAAGGGTAAAGCTTTGCATTTGTCTTTTCATGCCCACCTGTGAAAGTCCGGGTTAGAATGAACCTTCAGTAACCCATGCTTATCGTAAGAGGCGACTAACGGGATCGGGTGGCCAGGCTTGCTGTCATCGGTTCCCAATTGCGCAGATCGATGCTCATACTGTTGATTGTCTGGTCCAGACTCGATTATTTACAGACCGCTGCCATGTAGCTGGAATACTGCTGAGTGCGGCGTAAAACTAAACTCACTTTTCATGCCCATATTGCCTTACCTTGGCTCAGATGCGAGCAAGCTGAATGCTGTCCGTCCACCTGGTACAGGAAGGTATACTTCATCCGGTAGTTTGTCACCTGCCTGACACTCCATATAACTGTCCACAGCTGTCGTGATGTTCCCATACAGATGCCTAGCACTTCGCAGATTCATTTCGGTGTTGTGTTCCTGTGTCAACAAGGCCACTGTAGGACAGTCTGACATTGTTCGGGAATCACTCCCTGACTCTGCATAGCACTGCTGCATTGTAATCATCTCAGCGCATGTTCCCATAATATCTAAATCACACATAGAGTCATAATACTGAGAAAAGGCATTTAAACATTTGGAGTTCAGAACCTTTTGCTCTTTGGGCTCACTATTATTAACAGTTGCCAATTTTTCAATCACTGTCTCCTCTTCGTGGGCATCACTTGAAGCCTCATCATCGAACAGATCTGTGCGTATCCGTGACAGTTTGTTTTCTTTCGACACTGTCTTGGTACAGCCAAGTAGGAGGCTGGAAGCCTGTGGTTGTACTTTAGGCAGGGGTAGGAGATGGAACAGGTTCCCTGACAGAGAAGACATCCTGATACTGTGGAGGTTCTCGCACATTTCTAGCAGTTTCCTTGTCTGTTGATCATCACACCTACCCTATGAACATAGATTAAAATGTGTTCTACTTGATTAGTTTACTAATACATTAACTTGTGGCCAACATGACCTATATAAAGAGGATTAAGATGGTGAAAGTTCAAAGACTTTTGAGCATTTAGGTTTTAACGCCATTTCAAAATTATTTAAATTATATCACACTGTGTCAGCTTTATGTTGGAAGAAAGGATAGAGTGATGCAAGATATTAATCATTTTGTTGACACCCACAAGCAGGACAAGGGAGTGACAAACCCATGATCATAATCAGTGTCCACCTGGGACTCAACCTATGATCATCAAATACTGTCACACCAAAGGGACACAACTCTGCAACTGTAAGGCAATTTGAGGCACCTTGGACTACTGCTGAAACCATGCCCCATGGTCTATGTACAACATAATTATTACCCCATAACACAGAAATAGCATGAATAGCTGAATTATAACATATGATATATATAAAATGATTTACTTGATACTTCAAAAACGAGTATGGTTTTGCACATCTTTTAGCAAAATTCCAGCAGTATTATGAGTGAGTGAGTGAGTTTAGTTTTACGCCGCACTCAGCAATATTCCAACTATATGGCGGCGGTCTGTAAATAATCGAATCTGGACCAGACAATCCAGTGATCAACAGCATGAGCATCGATCTGCGCAACTGGGAACCGATGACATGTGTCAACCAAGTCAGCGAGCCTGACCACCCGATCCCATTAGTCGCCTCTTACGACAAGCATGGGTTACTGAAGGTTCATTCTAACCCGGACCTTCACGGGTAGCAGTATTATGAGAAATTGATATTTGTTTTTCCCCCTATGATTTTCATTCCCTGAGATCAGTTGCAACCTACCCGGAGATATGACTGTAGCACTTTTTCAAAAACATCTGGTAACGGTTGACTAATTCCAGCAAGGTTCTCCAGTCTCAAACAATGCACTTGGGGGAAGTTGCTTGAAGAGCCTGAATCCGACTGGGAGGATAATCGTGATGGGAACACATTACTGGCTGACGAATCATCATCGTCCAAAACCCTCCTCTTCCTCCCAAGAGACGGCTTTGACACCACAAAGTCATCATCATCGTTTTCAGGAGCCACCGAAGTGCCAACATTGGTTCCTTGAGAATCTGAGTCTTGAGAGCATGTGTTGTCATCGACACTGTGTAGGACGGTGCGTGGTGTTGTGTTGACAGGGTGGTGGGCCTTGCTGGCCCCGCCCCCAGAGCTGAGCCAGTACTGTAGCAACAGAAGACACTTCCTGATGTCGCCTCCGTGCAGCTTGACCAGCATCAGCATCTCATCCAGACTGGTTCTCACCCGTTCCACGAGGCAGATTGTCTGTAGGTGTCCTGCGATTGTCAGCTGAAGATAGAGGAAAGCAAGTTCAAGATAATAGTCACAAGGACCAAGCCTGAAAGCTTGCAGAATATTCTGTTAGTGAGTGAGTGAGTTACCACTGCACTTCTGTCAACTCCAAAAACATATGGCACAGTACTGTCACATTAGTAGGACTGACGGTTGGTCTATTTACACCATTGTGAAATAACTGCAATAGTACCCCACACCAGTAATGAGATAGTTTTAAACTCTTGCAAAAGTATTTCAGTAGTTGTAAACCATTGTAAGGCTTGATGACTGCATTAATCAATGTAAAAGAAATGAATAAAGCATTTTCTCAACAGTGTCAATGTCAGCCATTTTCGTCTGTGCCGCTACTCAAATCAAGGGGAATTCACTCTAATATGAAGTGCCTGTAAAGTGCCTGTCAATTGTTACGCCTACAATCAATAATACCATTGGTAGTTTTGTATACCTATTAAATAAAAATACTATCATGGGGCAAAAAATCGCAATATAGCATTACCATCTGCACATCAGTACTGCATTTTATGTGTGACCAACCCAGCTATTTTTCGGGATTGTGTGTGTGTATCTAATGCAATTACTTAAGTAATTTTCTGGCACCTATTTTTGCTGTAAAATGTACATCTGAGTTCCACAACTCACCTGAGATGGCTGTTTGAAGGTGAGGCCCTCGTACCACGCCTGCAGCTGGCTGCTGAAGCTTGAGTCCGTTGTAGTGAGGATGATGGGAATCTTGGTCCTCATCATGAAGTGCTGTATAGCTGGCAGGTAGCCCTTGTCATCATCAAAGCTGATCTCAGCCTGAAACACGTCACCCCTACATGACAGCAGTTTTCTCAGACGAGGTTTGTCAGAACCATATGGCAACCCGTGTAGGTCCGGGTTAGAATATTGACCTTCAGTAACCCATGCTTGTTGTAAGAGGCGACTAATGGGATCGGGTGGTCAGGCTCGCTGACTTGGCTGACAGATGTCATCGGTTCCCAACTGTGCAGATTGATGCTCATGCTGTTGATCACTGGATTGTCTGGTCCAGACTCGATTATTTACAGACCGCCGCCATATAGCTGGAATATTGCTGAGTGCGGCGTAAAACTTAACTCACTCACTCATTCAGAACCATATGGCACAATACTTTCAGCACAAACACCAACACATTTCATCGTATGTCACTTGCATTGATTGATGCTCATGCTGTTGATCACTGGATTGTCTGGTCCAGACTCGATTATTTACTGACCGCTATTATACAGCAGGAATATTGCTGAGTGCAGCATTAAACAACTAACCAACAAAACAAATGTACCCCAATTAACACATAACTTTAACACTTCCAAGGTTTATCAAGGAAACTGCTTATGAAGCACTTACTTCATCAAACAGAATGAGTGTGGTGGTGGATAGTTCAAGTCCTCCAGATTGACTGCCCTCATCTCTCATGGGATTTGGTTTTGGTTTCAATTCCTTCTTTGCTTTCTTGGCGCTTTTCTCAACTGAAATAAATATTTAAATATTTAATGTGTTAATTCTCAAAATATTCATAAACGAGTCATCAGAAGATGACATATCCCCCTGGCCCCCACATATTTGGACGAACAAATCATCTGACAGTTAAAGTCCAGCGTGATCTTTTTTTAGACTACCCGGTAAGTCCAAATCGTTTCCCTGAGAAATCATGAAAGTTATAAATGCCAAAAATCTGTAAATAGCAAAAGGCACCACTTCCCAAGATCTGCCTCATATATCTGCCAAGTTCTGTTGAAAGATATTATGAACTTTCAAAGGCACCACTTTGGGATTGCCTATTACGGAAGTTTTGCGATGTACACCTCTCCCTGTTGAGACTAAGTCCAAACTGTTTCCATCGAACACCGAGCAAAAAAAAAATCACAAAATTCTGTAAATAGCAAAAGGCACCACTTTAGGGTCTGTTTGATATAAGTTCTGTTGAAAGATACTGAAAGGTTTTCGAGTTGTGCTCTGGAAACGAAGCCCACCCCTCCCTTTTGAGAATAAGTCTGAATTGTTTCCATGGAAACTGAGAAAAATATAAATGACAAAAGTCTGTAAATAGCAAAAGGCACCACTTTGGGATCTGTTTGATACATATACCAATTTTTTATGAAAAATATTGAACGGTTTTTGAGTTATGCTCCAGAAACAAAATGATTACAGATGGACGGACAGACGGACGAGGCGTCGACTATATCCCCCTGCTTTACATGCCGGGAGGATAAAACCGAATTGCAAGTGATTCTGTGATATTCGTAAGCCACGCCCTCTGTAACTACTACTTCATGACAAGCTGAAAACAGAATGGCCGGGGCTTGTGTTGCACTACAATGTCACTGACTTCGCACTGTAATCTTCACATGTATTTTGTGTTCATGATTAAATGAGCAGACTGTGAAGTTTTTGTAACTGACACATTTATCTATAATATTATTTAGGTTATAGAGTTATAAACATTAAAAAATGGGTATTATAGTAGTTTACCCTTATCGACATCCTTTTCTCGCTTCCTCTTCCGTTTCGATTCCTTCTTTGACTTCTCTGCTGTATCGGCCTCAAGGTCAATGACCTCCACAGGATCCGCCTTGGTGCCAGCCTTACGGAACAGGTTGGTAAAGGCTGTGGGCAGTTTCGCCTCTTTCTTGGCTGGCTTGGCAGCTGAATGATGAAATCATGTGAGAATGTGTCTTTAGCCTGTTAAATGCTCGATGCTGCACTCACCAATTTTCCAGCTACATAAATAATAATAATAAGTAATCTTCTACAGCGCAGTCTCGCGGCGCTTAATCAGAATCGGATTCTTATTACCCCGGATAACCCAAGCTGCCTGTTAGGCGCTAGAAGGTTATAGTCACATGACTTTATTCAACCAGGTACCCATATTTTGCTGGGTGACATGACGATGCGGTTTAAATAATTGAGACTGGACAAGACAATCAAGTGACTGAAATCATGTTTGTTTGTTGTTTAACCCGCACTCAGCAATATTCCAGCTATATGGCATCTATTTGTAAATAATCGGGTCTGGACAATAGTGTTGGGAATTGGTTGAAATCTCATAATTGATGATTGCTTCATTACCAACGAACAATCATCGATAAAAATTGGTTAGCGCCAATTTTCAGATTTTCCTATCCAGGTTGTTATTGCAGATATGTATAACATGATGCACCTTGCTACTTTAAAGTGACGTTGATATATCATGAACATAAACCTTCTGGGGACTTCAAGAAATATTCAGTCATGACTTTTCAGTTAGTGAAGTGAGTTTTCTAAGAATTAAACAAGTTTTCAGGCCCTGACAACTTCGAAGATATGTTCCATCGTCAAGTGTTTCAAAGACTAAAACAGCAGTTCCAAAATCGTTTATGTTCGATTATGAGAAAATGTGATCGATTGCTTGGTCGTTTGGTCACTTCGACCAATCTTCGATTATTTCAATTAATCGGAACACCAATACTGGACAAGACAATCCAATGATCAACAGCATGAGCATCAATCTGTACAACTGGGATACAATGCCATGCAGTAACAATATAGACATCTGTATGGACAACTTCGCTCCTGCTTGACAACTATACAAGAATCTGTATTGAAACATTGCACTCACGAAATAAAGAAGTTGTTATCCATAAAGTTTGTCTATATTGTACTTCACAACTTCTAAAATGTCCCTCAAAGAAGTTATGCATAAAAAATGACATGCATCAAGTCAGCCAGCTTGACCACGCAATCCAGTTAGTTGTCTTTTATGACAAGCATGGGTTGTAGAAAACAGATTCTCACTCAGATCTTCACAGGTGAAGAACAAAGTGACCCAGGTCCTTCACGTCCACCACCAGGGTGAATCTCTCTGTTATGGGTCTGGCCCCGATTTCTCGAAACAAACTTAAGCCTGAGTTTTGACTTAAGTTAGAGTTTTTACTCAAATTTGAGAAAAATAAGGAGAATGCAATTCCCAAAATGAACTGAAATCGATATTAAACTCCAAAATAGTAGACAATTTGAGTTTGTTGGATAGATTACTTAAGTTGTTTGGGCTATTTTATTTTTAAAATGCAGTTGAGTTAAAAATTCAGCTGTTTCAATTGTCAAACTCAGTTTGAAATTTGAGTAAAAACTTAAGTTTGTTTCGAGAAATCGGTGCCTGGTGTTCAGATTTTGTTTGTTGTCAATACTCTGCAATATTCAAGCTATGACAGCCACTAGCTGAGACCAGAGGTTGCTATAGTGAGCAACAAGCCATGGTGTTAAGGTGACATACAATCAACTCTCTTTCAACCAAAACAGGGAGTGAGTTCAGTTTTATGCCACTTTTAGCAATATTCAGAAATGGGGTTCACACATTGTACCAATGTGGGGAATCGAACCCGGGTGAAGAGCGAACGCTTTAACCAAAGGCTACCCCACCACCCCTAACCAAAAGAGACTGCCAAGACCTATTCTGTTTGTTTTTGTTAAACACTACACAATCTTCCAGCTATTTAAAACCGCTAAGCCACATGTCGTATAAGAAACAGTCGGAAAATAATATAATAGACTGGGTTCATTTCAAATCTTAATCAGGCTTGCTGACTGGGTTGACACATGTCATCAGTTCCCAATTGCGTAGATCGATGCTCATGCTGTTGATCACTGGATTGTCTGGTCCAGACTCGATTATTTACACACCGTCGCCATATGGCTGTAATATTGCTGAGTGTGGCGTAAAACTAAACTCACTCAAATCTAAATCTGTCGGTCAAGATATTCTTATTTTTGTGTGTGTTACTACAGGTAAATTCAAGTAAAACTGTCAGCTGTGAGATTCAGTTATACATGTCTCTCTACACAGCTGACACACTGGGGGACATTGATCAGCTGCATCAGAGTGTTAACATGACATAGCCAACTAACAGATGTTAGCAGGTAATTTCATCAAAGCAGTCTCATTGATTAAGCCCTTTGGTTGATATGTCTAATAGGGTTGGAATGATTTAGTCAGTGTAGGTAATCAATGGGATTTTTCATCAACCAATAGTCGTAATTGGTTTGTCTAAACTAATCAATCATGAACCATTATCAGCTGCTAGCTCCCTGGAGTAGACTACAACTAGTGTCTGACATTCGGCTTTATTATGTAGCATATGTCAGCAGAATTCGAAACTGGAATTACAAATCTCCAAATTCACATTAGCAAATATCTACATTTATGGCTTATTAGGATATTGAAATATATCAATAACAGGACCAATTAAGACTTTTATGCTTGGTTATAGTCCTGCATTATATTAAATGTAATATCTAAATGCAATACTGAATTACAACTTAATTTTAAAAATATAACTCAAGAAAAGTTAATACCAATTCTATATAAAAATGTAATTTTTGGAGTAAAATTGATATTTTATACTTATCCTGACTCATGCTCTTTTGCTTGTCTTCTTCTTCTTGCGAACATAGTGGAACACTTGTATCTCCTTATTTGAAGCTCCCTTCAAAATAAAATCACTAATTGGTACTCACCACGAGTTGCTCCCCTTTGTTTCCCCTGGCGGGAAAGGTGTCGCCACCCTCTGGCCATGTGCTCCACTCTCTCCTGATTTTGCGAGCCCAACACTTGAACTTACAGGGAAATCCAAAGTGTTATGTGGGGAGGATGGGAGGAGCTAACCTCATGAGTCAGGATAAGTATAAAATATCAATTTTACTCCAAAAATTACATATTTTTCCTTATCCTGACTCATGCTCTTTTTGCTTGTAGCATCCCTCTGGGACACGGAGGTGGGAGTAACAGAATACTTTGGATTTATAATTAGTGATTTTGTATAGATATACTGTAATATCCCCTCACGGGAACTTCATGAAGGCTTAGACTTAGGATGTTTGTTGTATTAAAAACCATAGGTTACATAATGCCATTAAAGGGAATTACATTATTAATATATTGAACAATACATATAATATATATATATATATAAGTGACTCTGATAGAGGCACTGAAACTGAACATATCATAGTATAAGCTTAAGGCTGAATAACTTAAGCTGAACATATATACATAGCCCTAAAACTCCGTGAGAGTTATAAGCTAGATAAGTATGTATATAATACATATTAATCTTGTGAGGGTAATATTTAAGCCCTCTGGAACTGTCAGTTGCTGGCGAGGACCAGTGGTCGAAATGGTGAATGCCAGAGACATCTTCTGTAGTGATGTCTCTCAGGTAGTGATTAGCAAATACCATGTTAGATTTCCAATAGCATCCTTCCATAATGTGTTCAAGGAACAGTTGCGTGAAGAGCTGAGGGTGGAGGCCAATGCCCTGATCTCATGTGGATTTGATGCTGTTGGTGGGTCCAAACCTGCTGCCTTGTAGGCACGGAGAATGACAGTCCTTATCCAAATAGATATTGTGGTCATTGACACTTCTGTTTGATTTGTAGGCGATAAGGGGATGAATAAGCGTTTGAGAAATCTTCTCCTTGTTTTGGATCGTCAAATAAATAAACTTTGGCTCTACTGGACACAGTGATAAGTCTTGTGTATCTTGTGATCGAGAATAGAGGATAAGCGCCGGGATGTGGAATAACCTGTCTGGTTGACCTGGCAGTTGATTTTTAGCGATGAAATCCCATCTTAGTCCGAGGTGCGCTGTGTTATGATTGTCATCAAACTGTATCCTCTAAGTAATCTAGGCGTGAATTTCAGACATTCTTGCTGCGTGGCTAGAGATAGCAGAAAAAGTGTTTTCTGTGAGAGAAATTCAAAAGTTGTCGATTCAAAGGTTCATAAACCTCACTCGTGAGGTGTTGTAACACTATATTCAGATCCCAAGCTGGAAGTGGAACTTCGCTTTTGGTCCTCAATCGGAATGCTTTCGTAGTAAGGCCAGTAACTCTGGAGATCTTGTCAACTTGACACCCGTTCTCATGGTGATTACAGAACTAAAGCGGCAAAGATATGTTGATATCGTTGAACCTTTTAAATGTTTGTTTTGGCGCAGGTAACACAAATAGTCTGCCACTTGAGGCTGTGAAGCCTCTCTGCGCTGTAAAACCTTTCTTTGCTGCATAATTTTTGAAACTGTGCCACTTGTCGTCATACAAGTTCACGAGTTGAAATAGCGTAAAGGCAAAGCGTGACTGCTTTTGCCGCCCTGGCAGAATATCCTCTCTTGTTTAAACACATTTGTATACAGTCCATACGTGTAGTTGGAACATTGCTGGGTTTCCGTGCACTTGTTTGGTGTGAGGATGAATTAACAGGTTTTAGCGGCTTGGGTAGCTCCAGTGCTGGTTGACCGATTTCTTGAATTAGTATGGAAACCACGTTCTGGCGGCCAGTAGAGTAGCGACCAAAGTGAGTTGTAGGCTCTGTGTTTGTCTGATTTTCTGTAATACTTGAGGTATTATTGCTGGCGGAAGCAAGCGTGCGCGTGAGGCCTTCCATGATAGACTTAAATCCGTTGCCCAAGCTTGAGGGTCTGGGACTGGTGACCACGAATGAATGTCGGTAGCTGATTGTTGAATCGGCGTGGCGAAAAGGTCTATTAAGCGGCTCCCTAATTGCTTGATTATCTGTGCAAATATTTCCCTGTTGATCATCCACTCTGTCGGTGATGGTAGATGAGGCGAGAGAGAAGCGTCTGCTAGTATATTTCTGGCTCGGGAATGTGAACTGCTCTGACATGTAGATTTAGATCTTGTATTAAATCGAACAGTTGAAAGCTTAGGTTCAAAAGGTTCAGCGATCTCGTTGAGCCTTGCTTGTTTATGTAGAAGCGCCACTGTCGAATTGTCTGTATGGATCATTAGGTGCATTTTTTTGTAGAAATGTGCTCCAATGTAGAATGGCGTTGATTACAGCTTTCATTTCTAGACTGTTTATATGGAGTTTGCATTCTTGCTGATTCCATAATCCTGATATCGTGTGGTTGGTGAGATGAGCTCCCCAACCTTGGAGTAACAGCGTCTACATATAGATGGGTTTTGAATTCCTGCTCTGCTAAACAAATCCCTTCGCAGACATTCGATTTCTTGGTCCACCATAGTAGATGAGGTCTGAGATGTTTGGTAGACTGAATGGTTGTACATCGTTGAGATGTCGTTGATGAGACCTGTAGGGGCCGTAACTGTAATCTGCCTGTGACAGTCATGTCTTGGGCTGATGTGAGAAGACCTAGTAGGCTCTGCCATTGTCGAAGTGGTAGCGGAGAGAGTAGAGCTGGTGGAATGGTCTGTTGTATCTTGAGCCAGCGGTCTTCTGGTACAACGATCACGGTTCGCGATTTGTGATGAATCGAATACCTAGGAACTGCAGGTCTTCGCGATGGTACTAGGTCCGACTTGCGTAAAGTTTACTAACCATCCTAGTTGTGTTAGTAGCTTTATGATGTAATTTAACTGTAGTTTGAGATGCTGTGGATCTTGATCTACCTGTATCCCGTCGTCGAGGTAAAAGCGCTCGTAGCCCTTGGCGATGTAGAAAAGATGATAATCGGTTTTAGTTATCCTCGTGAATAGCCAGGGGCTGATGATATTCGAATGGGAGTACTTTCCACTGGTAATGTAGCCCTTCTAGAGTAAACCGTGGGTATTTCCTGGAATCGGGATGAATGGGGATGTGCAGGTAGGCATCCTGTAGATCTATGCTGCCCATGTAGTCCATAGGACCGAATCATCTGGCGTAACTGAGGTAAATGTATCATCGAGAAACCCGATTGGTTTTAGTAGATAATTCTTGTTGAAAAAGCTCATGTTGTAGATGAGTCTGTATTTCTCCGTGGAGTTTTTCTTGGGAACTAGGAAAACTGGGGAGTAGAAACCTGGTTCGACGTTTGCTTGATCTATTACTTCTATGGCCTGTTTGGATAGGAGTGATGAAACAGCCTCTCTTATCTTTGGTAGTTGTTAAGCTTGTAAATCGAACTTGAGGGGTTTGATTGTCAGCGGAGGCTTAGCCTGTAGTGGGATCTGAAATCCGTGTTGAAGAATGTTGGAGGCGTAAGGGTCTTGCAATATTCCCCAGTTTTCCCAGTGTAGTTGGAAGCGTCCACCCACTTGTGCTGGCTGTACTGGAGCGGCTGGGGTGGAAGACTCCAGTCGTTCGAACCTGTGTTTCAGCGTCTATAGTTGCGGGAACCTCTGGGTGTCCTGCCTCTTCCTGATCCTCCTCTATAGTTGCCATATGGCCGGCCGAAAGAATCTTTACCTCTAGAGCTGGCTATCTTCCTGTCTCTTGCTCTTTGTAGGCCCGTGAACTTAGATCTGCCTGAGTATCTTTGTGAAGTCTGACGAATGACGCTGGCTAGTGTGTCCATCGATTTAATCATAAGGACTTCCCTGGAATCCTTAGAGACTTCCTTGGCGACTTTGTCGATTTCTCCGTCAAAGATGGATGTTGTCGACCACGGGGCTGTATAAAGTGGGGCTGTAAAGTTCTCCCCCCAATTGCAGGAAGCGAGGAGGCCTTGACGACGAGCTAAGGTCAGTGCTGCTGAAACAGATGTAAGATGATCCGTTAAAAACTGCTGATCTTTCTTTTGCATAAGTAAGGCAGAATAAATCATTCTATCATCTTCCGTCGTGGAATCCGAATCTAGTGATAAGAGTCTCATTGATGCGTCCTAGATCTATTTAACCCAAAGAACATCGTCGTCGTCATGGTTTCTATATGAGCCAACTTGCGATCATCCATCTTGTAAATCTTGTTCTTGACATGGCTGATGATCTTATAGTTCTCATCGATGTCCTGGGCTTTGTAGAAAGAGTCCATGTTATCGTGGAGAACTTCTTGGCATGAAAGTTGGGCAGATGTGGTGTCTGAACTTTTCGTAGCTTTCTGGAAAGCTGCATCTAGATTCTGTGGCACTGCCTTGATCCGGTCGGTCGGGGGTAGAGTGTGATCGCATCTGGATCGTCTTCCTTCATCAAATCGTCTGCGCTGTATTGCCACTTTTAGATGGTGATGAGAGATCTAGGTTATTGACCATCCAATACCGTATCTCTGCATCGGAGAAAATGATTCCTCCATCATCCTCAATACCATCATCATTAACGAATTGTAGATGCTCTTCGGGACTGCGTGTAGCTGTCTGTATGTCCGATGAGGCTTGTGGCGATCTAGTTGACTTGTGCGCCGCTCTATGTGGAGATCTGACGGGTGATCGACCTGGTGATGAAGCGAAGTGGAGATCGTCTATGGGATGATTTTCGAGGAGACTTGTGAAGCGACGTTGATAGCCAGCGAAGCTCTTCTATAGTCCCTCGATGTCCTTCTAGATGATGAAGATCTGGAATCATATGTCCTTCGCGAATGCCTTCGAAAGCTTCATTTAAATCGGTCCGGGGATCGATGATATGACCTTCGCGAAGGCCTCCGTGATGTCTGATGGTCCGAGTCCATATCTAGAGATGAAATCGAAGATGGTGATGATCTATCCCGCCTTCGCGAAGGCCTTCGCGAAGGCTGTACATCTAGCTCCTTCGTCAAGGTGGTGCGGGACTTCCTTCGCGAAGGTGACATCGTCCTGGCTGCTACGTTGACGGGGGGTGCCTCTGGGGTGCTGTCTACGTTGGAGCCTTCGCGAAGGCTCGGACCCTGCTTCTGCAGTTTGTAGTGGTCCTCCATGATGTTCATAATTTGCGCATCATGTCTTCTGGGATGATCTGTGGCCGAAGTCGTCGGCGTCTTCTCTGCGATGGGGTCCACATCAATAGCGTCTGGCGTCAGTGTAGAGGCATCAGGCTGCATGGTGATCTCTGCAGAAGTCACAGTCGCTGACACGGTAAACTTCTTGTGCCGTAAGTCGGGGATGATTATCGGCTGATCATCGTAGAGGCCCAATTCTGCTGCTGGAGCGATCTCGGCTGAGAAGTTCTGCGTTGTCTTCGTAGATTTTCCTTTGGAAGTCTGCGCTGCCCTGGGGGTCCTCAGTCTGCGTTGAGAAGGCGTTGAGGCCCTCTTAGACTTGGTCTGCAATGGCGGGATGTCTGGGGAGGCGGTCGTTTCTTCGAGGTAGCGGACTGCGTCCCGTTCCTCTACCGCGGGGTCTCTAGCAGAACACCAGGCGGGAGAGGGTCGATCGCTAGCAGCTGACTGGATGGAATATCTGGACTCTCTGCCATGTTTTGCCCTTGTTTGCGTGACCTATCTGCATGCGTCTTAAGGCGCAAAGATGATATTTATTAAATGCAGAATGAGATAAATTAATGCAGTAACTGCAGCGTGAATCAAGCGCTGCGGTAGAGCACAACTAGGGCATATTACATGCGGATCAGAGGCAGAAAAAGCGTAATCTACAAATCGTACAGATTTTCATCAGCGTAAAGCTAGCTGAACAATCCGCGAATACACGTGAATAAACAGTAGAAATCACGATAATTAATCAATACAAATTAGTAAAGGATACTAGCTATACCTCTATAGTAACCTAAGAGAGGTAAAAACTAAGAGATTATCAAAGGATATGGTGTGTAGGAGACCGCGGTGGCTCTCACATCCTGCTCACTGGGCTGAAGAAGGAGAGTGAAGCACATGGCCAGAGGGTGGCGACACCTTTCCGCCAGGGGAAACAAAGGGGAGCAACTTCGTGGTGAGTACCAATTAGTGATTTTATTTTGAAGGGAAGCTTCAAATAAGGAGATACAAGTGTTCCACTATGTTATAAATCCCTCAGCAAGAAGAAGAAGACAAGCACAAAGAGCATGAGTCAGGATAAGGAAAATGGACCAACAAGTACCATATTTTAACGTCTTTTTTGGTATGACGCGGTCAGGGATCGAAGCCAAGACCTTCCGCTCTCCGGGCGGACGCTCTAACCACTACACCACGGAGGCGGTCTTAGAGTGAGAGAGTGAGGAGATGTTTAAATCTACATTTAGCAACAATCCAGTTTGTTGTTTAAAACCGCACTCAGCCATATTCAAGCTACATTATGGTGGAAAATAATCAAGTCTGGATCAGACAATCAAGTGATCAATAACATGAGTGTCGATCTACTCAATTGGGATATGATAACATGTGTCAACAAACCAAGCAAGTCTGGCCACCCGATCCTGTAAATTGCCTCTTTAGACAAGCATGGAATGCTGAAGATCAATTCTAAACCTGATCTTCATGGGTCACACATGTAGTTACAATTCAATAAGTCCACGTATTTAATCCTCTTTTGAAAATTGGTTATTAACTCTTGCAGATGACAGCATTCACCTTATATCCGAGTTCCTGAGCCAGGGCGTACACTGAAGCAGTCTTGCCGATGCCGTGCGGCCCTGTGATGACCATGGTGTTACACAGGCTGTCATCCTCATCCTCACTGTCATCGGTGTCCATGTCAAAGTCACTGTCTTCCTCTCCCCACCACGCGTTGTCTTCCTCAGCAGCTGAAATAGACATAGAAACCACACTGACATATGAGTGGGATGAGGTTGAAAAACACATGGGAGAACTATAGGTTGATTACAACACTAGAAAGGTCATTAACCTTGTTTGAAAACAAGAACAAATTGTGTCCAGGGACACGGATGCCCCCGCTGACATTCATAAGACATATAAAGATCAATAATTGAACAAAATTCACCAACAAGTTCAATAAACATCAATGCAACTATGAGATGCACACCTTTCGAGTCCCAATGAAACACATGTATAAGTTTAATTAATCAATTCTGTTGAGCAGTTTTTGTGGAGAAGTGGATAGACTTAATCCCCCTATTTCACTATCATCAGAGAGAAATTCAACAAAATTTATCTAAGTTCAAATGTCTCTAAACATACAAAACCTATAACATACAAAAACAAAATATAAGATGCACACCATTAGAGTCTCTATAAAAGACATATGTAAGCTAAATGAGTTTTGTGCAGTGGTTTTTGAGGAGAAGTGGATAAAGTACACCCCCTGTTGTATGGGACGAACAGGATGAATAGAACAAAATTCAACTAAGTTCAAACATCTGTAGAAGTGACAAAATTAAGAAACACCTTGATGAACAAGGTATGAGCATGCACACACTTTAGAGTCCCAATGAAAGTTCACCATTAAAACTGGAAAAATAAATAAAATACAAAATCAAGATGAGATGCAAGCTCAATCAATTCTGTTGAGCAGCTATTGTGGAGAAGGATGGATAGAACTTCATCCCATCTATAACACTATATTCAGATGAAGAATATTCACCATATATGGCTTCATCCCTATTACACTATCATCATAGAGAAATTCAGGGTTCAAATGTCATAAAGACATTAGAGTCCAAAGAAAGCCCATGTATAAGTTCATTGAATTCCACAGAGGCGTTTTGGTGGAGAGTGGCGAAGAATATTAAGCTAGACTGAATGCAACATTGAGATGATATTAAGCTGGGTTGAATGCAACATTGAGATGATCATTAAGCTGGGTTGAATGCAACATTGAGATGATATTAAGCTGGGTTGAATGCAACATTGAGATGATCATTAAGCTGGGTTGAATGCAACATTGAGATGATCATTAAGCTGGGTTGAATGCAACATTGAGATGATCATTAAGCTGGGTTGAATGCAACATTGAGATGATCATTAAGCTGGGTTGAATGCAACATTGAGATGATCATTAAGCTGGGTTGAATGCAACATTGAGATGATCATTGAATGCTGGGTTGAATGCAACATTGAGATGATTAATTTGAATGCAACATTGAGATGATCATTAAGAATGCAACATTGAGATGATATTAATGCAACATTGAGATGATATTAAGCTGGGTTGAATGCAACATTGAGACGATCAGTAAGCTTGATTGAATACAACAACCATTTAGTTATAGGGTAAGGTTCAGATGTCCAAAGATGAAATATGAAGGACCTCCGTTAATTTTGTACACAGCAGAGAAATGCTAGCCACCCACGTCTTTGTGACAAGCTTCAGCAGGAAGACTATCCTCAGTAAAGATCAAGATTACCTTTGACCACAGCCTTTGGTTGCGCCTGTTTCAGCATCTGCAGCCTCATCTTGCGAGCCTCCTTGTGAGTGCGGTGCTTCCACTCCAGCAGCCAGGTCTTCAGCTTCTGCAGGTGAGCTGTGTGGCCCAGGACTTCCATTGAGTGGGTGGGCTGGTAGCGCTCCGTCCACATCATCTCTGTTGTACAATGTAGAAAGGGAGTGAGTTATGCCACTTTTAGCAATATTTCAGCAATAAGATGGCTGGGGACACCAGAAATGGGCTTCACACATTGTACCCATGTGGAGAATTGAACCCAGGTCATCGGCGTGACGAGCTGACACTTCCCCACCACTCCTTAGAAATATAAAGAACACCTGACTGACCAGATACTGACGTACCATACCCTTGACAGTTAGAAATGGAGCTAGCACATTTTCATGATTTTATCAGCTTTTGGAAATATATAATTCTGCATCATCACCAAGTTTGGCATATATTTTCAACACACTTTGACTGGCATTCATTAAATTTCCAAGAGAAAGAACCAATCTGAAACCCTGACCCTAAAGTAAAGGATACAGCAGCACCAGGTTCCACAAAACAATCTTCACGCTATGACGCTATCACCTTAGTGCTAAGATCGCATTGTGGAACGGGCCAAGGACCAAGACCTTTTATAAAGTGCAACAACTATCATCTGTACCTTCACACAGGCCCCAACAGTAATAGAACTGTGGAAGGGATCTCTAGATATGATTGTAGATATTTATCAGCCATTATGACAATTGCACTACACACTGACAATTACAGCTGTTTATCCTACAGAAATCATTTTCAAAACTGAGGCACCTAACATGCTAAAACAGCAATGTATTGACAACTCAGTTTAAAAGATGTTCCAGAACTCAATCCTTACAAGGACTTATGAGTTTCACATCTGATGAGGAAGATGCATACCTCCGACCCTGATGACCTCAGGAGTTGGAACACTCTCTGCAGTTTCCTTGGATAGACTAAGCTTGGCTCCCTTTGCACGACCTCGTCCTTTCTTTTTCTTCTCTACTGCTTCCTGCTTAGTAGACTCCATGGAAGGCTGTGAGGCCTTTGCTGAGAAACAGAAACCGTAGTGAGTGAACGTTTTTTTGACGATACAATTCTCTCTGTTCCAGCAGTATCACAATAAGAGGTAAATACTGAAGTCTAGGCTAGGTTAACTTATGGCTAAAAGAACGAGTAACATTCCTTGGAGTAGGAGAAACACAACCAGTCTGGTGATACACATGTCATCGTGCCCCATCGAAGACCAATTCTAACTTGGGTTCCACAGGTCTTACAACAATGAATGCATCAATACCTGCATCTATGCTGGGATCCAGTGAGCGAAGATCCTCCTCCAACTTGCGTTTCATGTCAGTGTAGATCTGCCTGACCGGGAGGCCCCTCACGCCAACCTCCACCTCTGCTAGAAGTTCATCCACCACCCCTTCAGCCAGCTCCATGTGGAAGCGGAAATCCTGATCACAACACAATGAAATAATACAATATGAGTGACTGAGATGGGTTAACCACGCGTGTTAACAGAATTCAAGTTCCATGAAGCTGTGTCCACTTCATGTGGGATGAAAGTATATTCTACATATTTGTCACAAAATCTAACCCAATCAGTCCACTCTCAGTGACATATGGAATGCACTTGCCTACCTTGAATAGTTCAGACTTGGCAGGGGAGACTACTCTGTGGCTTCTAAGGTCAGCCCAGTTGATGAGCAAGGCCTGATGAAATGGCTCTGACACCCTCAGTGGTAGTTTAACCGGTGCCAAGTTCCACACACTGTTCTCTGCCGAACAAAATATTTCAATGTCACATCAATGTTAAAAAACAAATCCCATTAATCGAAAACATCTTCACTACACACTACAGATTCTGCAAGGTGTATGTAAGTTGCACCCAAAGCACTTCAAACACATGTGCAGTGGTAGGTTGCGTTCGGGTGAGATGTATGTAATTTTCTGAAAATAATTTATATTTTATACTTATCCTGACTCATGACTATTATGCTTGTCTCCTCCTTCTATGCGAATGATAGTGGAACACTTGAAATCCCTTGTAGTTCCCTTTAAAGCGGACGTATAACTACACTCACCCACATTCATACTTAGACATCAAGAATTAATATTAAATTAAACATTGTTTAAGTAAGATGATTATGGAAATGTTTTGCTTCAAGTAACAATGTAGTTAGGATTTAAATAATTTTTCCTTATCCTGAGTCATACTATTTACTTCTTTCTTCCTTACCTTGAGATACAGTGGAAACATTCTGTTACGTTCCCGAATTTTTAAAAATATTTTTCCTTATCCTGACTCATTCTTATTTTGCTTGTCTCCTCCTTCTATGCGAATGATAGTGGCACACTTGTAATCCCTTGTACAGTCGAACCCCGTTTACTCGGACCCCGTATATCCGGAAACCCCGCCTTCCGGACGATTTTTAGGTGAAACGAAACTTGCCTACAGTAATTGTACTCGCTTAGCTGGACCCCACGCTTCCGGACCTGCACGGAGAAGTTTCAAACCATTCCCATAGATTTCCATTTAAAAATGATCCAGTTATCCGGACGGAAAGATCTGGGCACATGTGCATGTGTACATGTATGTTTCACGTCAGTATTGTTTACTGGACGACTAAGTGTATTCATTGTTCATCTCTCGGCAGGCGTTTGCTGTGAATTGAGTACCCATCAAAACACTAGGGACGCGTGTTAATCTCTTGGCAGGTGTTTGCTGTGAATTGATTACTTACCCATCAAAAAACTAGGGACGCGTGTCACTTCAGTTGTGGCAGGTGTGAGAACATCTCATCAGTAACAAAAACACATGTTAATTAGGATTAGGATTAAGCTGAGCCGCGGAATTTGACTGACTGACTGAGTTTGGTTTTACGCCGCTTTTAGCAATATTCCAGCAACATCACGGCGGGGGACACCAGAAATGGGCTTCACACATTGTGCCCATGTGGGGATTCGAACCCGGGTCTTCGGCGTGACGAGCCAACGCTTTAACCATTAGGCTACCCCACCGCTCCCCGCGGAATTTGATGCAGCAGTTACCACGAAGTGACGGTGACAAAGTCCCAACTGCTGAACAGTACTTTGATGAAGATACTGTCGTGGAAACTGGCCATGAGCTAACTGATGAAGTAATCATCAACAGAGTGCAGCCACCGACAAACGACCAGTCAGATGATGATGAACAACAAGCAGTTGTTACGCTAACAGTCAGTTGACTGTCTACGAATGTACTGGAGACGAAGGTTCAGTGAATTTATTGATGGACTTGGTGAAGTGATTTGAAGAAATAAAACCAAGGAAGCAGACACCTATCACAGACTTTTTAAGGAAATAATGTGCTACATGTGATATCGAGTCAAGTAAGATGCGGTATGTAAAATGTATAACGTGAATCAACGTGCTGAAAGAAAGTTTATTGGTGTGATATTGAATATGGTATTGTTATGATTATATGTTTTTGACTATTGACTTATTGATATACATACATGAATAAATTTTCAATATACATTGTCAATGCGTTTTGCTTGTTTGATCCAGTTAACCGGACGCCTTGCTATCCGGACGATTTCCGAGAGTAACCAAAATGTCCGGATAAACAGGGTTCGTCTGTAGTTCCCTTTAAAGCGGACGTATAAGTACACTCACCCACGAGTTGCCTCCCTTGCATAGTTTCCCGCCAATGGAGTGGAGAGTGACAAGCTTGGTTAGTCATGTGACTGTTTTGGCGGGAAACTATGCAAGGGAGGCAACTCGTGGGTGAGTGTACTTATATGTCCGCTTTAAAGGGAACTACAAGGGATTTTAAGTGTGCCACTATCATTCGCATAGAAGGAGGAGACAAGCAAAAGAAGCATGAGTCAGGATAAGGAAATTTTTTTTTAAATTTCGGGAACGTAACACAGAATGTTTCCACTGTATCTCAAGGTAAGGAAGAAAGAAGTAAATAGTATGACTCAGGATAAGGAAAAATTATTTAAATCCTAACTACATTGTTACTTGAAGCAAAACTTTTCCATAATCATCTTACTTAAACAATGTTTAATTTAATATTAATTCTTGATGACTAAGTATGAATGTAAATCATTCGTATGCCACATATTCAAACAGTAAAAACATTATCCCAAAATAACATTGACCATTTAACTACATCTGTATTCACGTGTTATTATTCTATACACGTACCTTCACGTGACTCAGGTATTTGCTGCACGTGACTGATGGTGGGGAGCCACGTGGTCTCCATGCTGCTCTGGACTGCAGCAACAGCAACCACCTGCCGCTTCAGTGTGTCAGGGACATCGCTCATGAGGAAGGCCTGACGGAGTCGCATCTTCTCAGGGTCCTCTGGTTCTTTCAGCTTCACCTCCGTCTTTGACTTGCCCATGAAGATAGAAGCCAGCTTGCCTGACAACAGTCAGAAATATATTTTATGTTTTGATGACCATTCATGTTAATAGGGATCTGACAACTAACGTAATTCGTTGGTCAAGGTTAGAGGCCACAATATGATAGATATATTGATAATATGGTAAGATGTTAATATAATAAGATTTATATCCTAATAGAGTATCTATATTTCAAATTCCATATTTTAACAATCAGGGATTCATAAACCATGTACCAAAACATCAAACATCATCTAAACTGCTAGACTGCCCAACATCATAGAGTTTGTGTTAGCAGACACAAATAGTGTACTTGTTGACTTGATTAAATTCATACTGAACCTAGGATTCATTCAGAGAAATAATTGGAGGAAACATATTTCTGCTCAATACAGGATTATTTCCTACATTTACCATGAAACCTTAGCGATGCATTCAAATGAACAAAGTGCTAGAACTCTAAGATTACGGTTGTAGAACATACCTTTTGATTTGGGTTTACTTGGACTATCCTTTGCCAGTTTCCGGGGGCTGTCCTTGGCCTTCAGTTTCTGGGGTGTGTCCTTGACCTTCAGTTTCCACGGACTGTCCTTAGCTTTCAGTGTTTTGGAAACATCTCGAGGTTTTGACTTCAGTGGTGTCTTAGTTGATTTCTTCACTTTAACAGGAACAGGTTTCTCTTCATCTTCGTCCTCCACAGTAATTGGTTCCGGTATGACCTGCACAGCCAAACGTGCACTGCGACGCCGACCACCTCCATCTGTGCTACTGTCTAAGTCGATAATGCTTTCATTTCCACTAGTCACAGATTCTCGTTTACTCTTGGCCTTGGGTTTTACCTTGGATTTTTTCGTCTTTTTAACTTTCTTAGCTTTCTCCAAAAGCTTTTGAGCCTTCGCTTGCTTCTGCCCTTTCTGAATTACAAGATGAATAAATGAATATGTGTTGAATATCGTTGCTAAAAATCTTCAACATTAAGAAACATATTTACACCAGCTCAGAGGCTGACATTGGGGACCTAGACTGTAGCAAATGACAGTAAAATTAACTAATTTTGAAATACAAATTTCATGTCACCATATTTGTAACTTATGTTAAAAGGATTACTGGAAAGGCAAAAGCAGTCATCCTTTGCTTTACACTACTGCATTAAATGCAATGTTAAACTACATAAAAATTCCTCCAAAGTTGGGAAATTAAACATTATACAACACTCAGTTTTTAAACTATAGACAACTTTAAAGATTCAAACAGCCACTTTGTTTTGATCCAACACGATCATTATCTGTATCCATTCTCTATAGTTTGTGTTGGGTAAAACCATTTGATCATCTGCATAGCTTACTCACAGTTTTGGATGACCGAGGAGTAAATTCACTTTCTTCGCCACTGCTAGTAGTCTTCTTTAATCTGAAAATAAAAAAGGCACAATCCATCCCGGTATTTTCATTTCAAACCCTTATATTTGGGGCATATTAACTTATGAATACACAATGATATATAGAAAGTAGTCAAATGTAACGTGTTATATTTATGATTACACTTCCACAGTGAAGTACAGATTCTAGTATTTTTGCTGGGTTGAGTCCCTCCCCCAATTCAAACCCGCACTCTCAGCGTTAGACGCCTAATCGGCAGAACACATAAGTCAGCGATTTAACCCACTCAGCCACTGCAGTTTCTTGTGGATGACGATTAGGCTACAACCTAGCAAAAGTACTAGAATCGGCAGTTTACTGAGAGAGTGTAATCCCAAATATAACGTGCCACATATTAACTCATGGATGAAGCAATGACAATATCTGTAGGATATACCCCATCTGATATTGCTTTGAAATTTGCCAGTCAATGCTATAAGCAGGGATGTCCTTCGATAGTACTATTAGCACTAGTGGAGTTCTGATGATTGAAAATAATCGAAAATCAATCGAGAGAAGGACTAAAAATAATTATCGATTATAAAAAACATATTTTTGATCAATTGGAATTTTGTTGTTTCAGTATAACACTTGAATGAAGTAAACTAACCATTAAATTTGACAAATATTCACAAACAAACATGCGCTCAACAGCACTGTAAAATTTTAACCACTTTTATTGTTTAATTACAATTCCAGTGTCTTTCTTGCACGATGATTTGATTCAGTATTGCATGACAGTATTAGTTATGAAAAACATTAATTAGAAAAAAACTGTGGAAAAACCCTTAAAATTGGTGATTACATTAAAAGTGTATTTATTTCGATTATAATCGATAATCGTTCACAAGTCCTCCAATAATCGATTGTTGATTTGGTTTCCTATTCCAAACACTAATTAGCACAGGGGTAGACACCATGGGCCATATCAAACCAATAAACACTCATGTTGAACAAGTGGTTTCTTTAAAATCTCAAGATGTTATAAACCCCTAGTCTTTTTACCTTTTCAGGTGATCATACCTCTAAAGCAGAGATTTTATGGAAGTAAACTTCTCTATCAATAAGGACCACAATGTTTTGGGGTAAATTCTTACTCCTTCATCAGGTAGATTTGTTGTGGCGTTTACATCCATTATTATTTCCTTATGTGTATCACATGTGTATTCACAGACATTGCAATACCTTATTTTCATCTTGATAGGTGTCCGTCTGGAGTCATCGAACTGAAGACTGCTGACTTGGTACTTCATTCTAGGACGAGCCCTCACTTCTTTTGGACTCGAGGCCATCACTGCTGAGCACTGAATCATCCATCTTACTTTTTCTTTTCATCATCCTTCTTTTTCTTTCCGTTTCTTTTTCACTTTCTTAACTTCACTTTTGTCACCATCCTCTGTGGGAATCTTGGCTGATTTACTCTCAGAGTGAGTCCTTACTCTCGTCTTACTGGAAGGGACAGCTGCACCAGTTGCCTTAAGACCAGTCTTTGTGAAGCTGAGAGTTGCCTGGGCTGACTTAGCAGGCACAGCAGGAGTATCAGAGCTCTTCAGGAAAGCATCAACTTCCGCACTTCTTGGAGCAGCCTCCACTTTTTCGATAGTAACTTCTTCCTTCAGCTCTTCCACCTTCTCGTCTGTCTTTAACACAGCTTTATCACCTGATTTACCTTTCTTAGAGATTTTATCCTTCTTGTTTTAGTGGTGGATACCTCTTCCACTGTTTCTGAACTCAGCATCTCAATATCTTCATCCAGCTTGACAACACCGGGAGATTTGGGGGATAACACTATCGGTGAAGCAATTGACTGGTTCTCAGGAGATTTCTTTGAGATACTTTTCTCCTTTAGCGGTTCGTGGTGCACGTCAGCCATTACTGTCACGACTTGATGCTCAGAGTTCTTATCTGTATTTACTTTGGCAAAGAAATTAAGTATGGATGGAGTCTTCTTCTTCTCTCCATCATCTCCACTTGAGTCGTCTTTCTGGCGGCGGAATATCTGTCTCAGAACCCTCCTTGAATAATGAAGCTTTGGCAGACTTTTTCTTCTTTGAATCTTTCAATTTGTTAGCATTAGCAACTTCCTTGGGTGGATCTTCCTGCCTGGCTGTGAAGATCTGAACGTCTTCCTCGTCATGTGATGCATCTCGCTCCGTGGCCATTTTCGATAAATCCCCCTTCTCATCCTTGCATGATACATCCTCCTTCCCTGTGTTGTCTGCACATCCTCGGGGGGTCAGTGATTGGATAAAGGCCTCGTAAGACATCTCCGTCGCTGGGCACTGATCAGCTGGCACATCTGTTGATTCACTAGTCCTGTTCCGCTTCCTTTCAGCACCATCGCTGTCATTACGTTTCCTTTTCTTAGAAGTCTGTCCTTCGTCTATAACTTTCAACTCTGAATCGTCTATAATGTTCGACTCTGAATTGTCTATAATTTTCGACTCTGAATTGACCATTTTGTTTTTTGTCTCATCGACCACAGGTACCAAGGAAGTCACATCCTCAGTTTTTGTTTCCACTGACTTCTGTTTCTGTAATGTGAACTTTTTGCTTGATTTCTTTTTGTTGCCTTTCTCTGACTTTTCACCTTCCACACTGTCTGAAGCCTTGGTTTTACTTTTCTTCTCACTCTTTCCATCCCTTTTACTCCTCTTTCTGTTTGAAACACCCGACAGATTCAACAAATCTGCCTGTGTGACATGGCCATTGCACTGAGAGTTCGATTCATCACTCAGCAAAATAACACTCTCACAACTTTCATTTGCCACAGCAGTCAAATTATCATTGCTGTCATGACCTTGACCTTTAATAGCATCTTCTGTCTCCAGCTTTTCCACAGCCTCAACTTTCTCGGAAGACTCTTGTAAATTTGTGGGCGCACATTTTTCCTTCTGCTTTTTGCCTGCACTACTTTTGTTTGGAGAAACGAAAAAATCAAGTATGGAGCTCTGCGGAGAGCCAACCCCTGCCTTGTTGGCCTTGTCACACTGAAAGTCAACAACACGCATTTGGAATTACTTTATCAATGTCAACATGCAGCAAATCACTGGTCTCTTAAGCGGCCTTCACATTGCAAACTAAAGTTGGACAACACATGTTGTCAAACTCAAGTTTGAGTGTGTGAACATTCCAACAACTCATCACCAACACCAATTTCAGAGTTGTCCAACTGTTGTCGGTAGAAATAAGATTGGTCTCTATTCCGGCCAACTATTTCATCAAACTTTCGGTGCTGTCAAACTTGAGTTTGTTGTGTGAAGTGTTGTCTAACTTCGTTTAAAAACAACCAATCGCAGTCAACGAAATTGTCACGTGACCACACAGATAGAGACATGGTGCTCAAAATGACCGCGAGAAGTTTGACATGATGTGTTTGACATGTGGCGCCAGTTTGACAACTTTTGTTGTCAAACTTGCTGTGTGAAGGCCGCTTCAGAAGTTTGATTAGGCAAACATACATTTTAACATGTTATCCCAACTTCAAAATTAGTTCACACAGATTCCTGCAAATATTCCAAAATACTAGACAAATAATTCAGGCCTTCAAATAATAAAGTCTGCAGCAGTTAAATCAGCTGATATTTAGCATTTTCACTGTTCTCTGGGTAATGCAGTCCTTCTGAATTGGTATATCGTGATCTTAATTTAAAGCCTAAAAGCGTATTCCATGAAGAAAGCTGACACTAGTGACAGTGACAGTGGTGAGATTGTGACAGTCACAATTGGGGTACAAAGGATCATTATAAACATCGAATCGAACTATGTTAGACGTCTGAGACCACAAGCACCAGGGAAAGAAGCCTTTCAAAATTTCCCACTAGACCACAGGAACAGTGAGTTGACAATAATTAGTGGTCCTGTCTGTACTTCACTGGTCCAAAATAACGTTTGTATATTTACTTAACTATCAATACAAAATTCACTGGCCACCACGACCACTGCAAACTTATCATTTAGTGGTCCTGATGAATTTTTAGTAGACCTCAGGACCAGCGTAAATTTACGCGCGTCGAAGCACAAAATGCGTGGACCTGTAGCCCCTTTTACACACTGATGTGTAACCATTTACAAAAATCCCTGTTTCAGTTATCACAGCCAATGACAAGCATCAATTCATTAACCTAGCATACTAACGAGCAGAGATACCCACCTCAATCTTGTCTTCCAACATTTCTGTGTTCAGTGTTGCAGAAATCTGGCATATCACAACAGCGGTAATGTCGTCATCATCTGTGACATAAAGAAAATATATCCATATTTCTCTGATTTAGTGACATGCCATAGATGCAATCACTGACTTGTCTAGACCAGTTCAGAGACTGAGCATTGGTCCCATGTTGAATTTTCCAAATTCATAATGATAATATTACAGCTTTTGGTTTTTTCATAGATGTGACAGATAACAGAAATAATAATGAGACACAGGAATTATTTTACCTTATAGCATTGAATGTATTGTTTAAACACATAATAAAATAAGAGCACAGGTATGGAAATAACTTTAAAATTGCTAGTGTACTCCGGTACAGTGGCACATGTAAAATCACTTGCCCTGATAATTTTTCCACTGTACCGGCCGTTTTCTTGTTGATTTTTTAAATAAACAACATAATTAACATTGGAATATCAACTGGACACCGGTACAGTATGCTATACAAATTTGCTTGCCGACAGAAAAAAACAATGGACTGGGATGTTGGGCAATGGGTTATTTCCACCCCTGTGAGCAAAAAGAAATTCTCATTTTTCAACAAATAAAACCCAAACCAACCAAATAAATATATACCCCTTTCAGAATAGAAACATTTTATAAGTCACTGATTATATTTGGCACACATCGGCATGATGAGATACATGGCAACTTGTTACATCCACATGAACTAAAACCGTATTTTTCAGGTAATACTGACTGACTGAGTTTAGTTTTCTGCAGCTGCTTTTAGCAATATTCCAGTAACATCCGCGGTGGGGACACCTGAAATGGGCTTCACACATTGTACCCATGTGGGGATTTGAACCGGGTCTTAGGGCGGATCGCGAGCCAGCGCTTTAACCACTAGGCTACCCACGCCCTTTTCAGGTAATAAACATGATACCACTTTATGCTTCAGCATCCAACAGATGCTAAACATGACAATGATAAATGATTTTTAATATTATGCCTTGAGTTGGTACATTGCTTCAAATGAAGCATATATTTTATCATTGTTTACCTACTGGCATAACATAGTTAAAATTATTTTACTTTTACAAAATATGAGTATCAGTCTTGTACATGTCCTTTACTTAATTCATTTTGTTACCAATATATTCTGTTCTTTGTTTCTTTGCTAGTTATTTAATGTTGCATTCAGCAATATTCCACCTGTATGGAGGCGGTCTATTCTGGTCTACTCTACCTTAGGTAATAACCTTGCTGCAAAGCAGACAAAAACAGGTGGTACCAGCTGCTCAACATAAATTACATTTATTGCTTGAGTTTTGGTTTTGATAATCTGGAATTATCATTATAACAAAAATTAAACCAGTTCTGATAAAATCATTTTATCTTACTTTCCAAAATTCCACGATATTAAAAGTAACAGTCATTCAATCACTGTTTGTGTAGTCAACAGTCACTGCTTGAAGTCAGTTCCTCATCTCTCAGTTTTATAGCTGATGTCTATGAACTGAAAAACATTAACATGCACTGTGTGCAAGTTGGTATAAATAGGAGGTTGCATTTTGTAGATTTAGGTTGCACCAGTGCAAGTTCTAAATGCTAAACCGAGGCATGAAAAGGTAAAACAAATTTCCTTTAGGTTAATAAATCTTATCTTACTGACTGACTGAGTGACTGACTGAGTTTGGTTTTACGCTGCTTTTAGCAATATTCCAGCCACATCACGGCGGGGAACACCAGAAATGGGCTTCACACATTGTACCCATGTGGGGATTGGAACCCGGCTCTTCGGTGTGACGAGCCAACGCTTTAACCACTAGGCTACCCCACCGCCCAAATCTTATCTTAAAGTTATGTGGACACAAAGACAACCCCAACACTGAAGTTACTTTGAAGTAATCTAGAGCAGTGGGGAATTGTTGCCTGGTTGTTTTATACCTTGTGCAGCAGCCTGTCAGTCATCTCAACTAACAAATATTGAAACACTGTTCACTACTGTTTGCCTCCATTATCTCTCCTCATCATGTTTACTAGATTCATCTACCTCAGTACGTCATATCACAAAAACATCCCATATTCATGTCTGATTTCCCCATGGTCAATTCAACAGTCATCCTTTGTATTGGGGGCTGTTTTCAGTTACCTATTCTGAAATAACATGTACACTAGGCATGTTCCTCTGTTCAATCAGAATCCAGGAACTTTGCCTGCAGGAGCTTTGCCCACAAGGAACTTTCCCCACAGGAACTTTCCCCACAACAATTTTAACAGGGGAGAATTATATGATATTATTTTATTTTATAAACTACACAGAAATAGCATATAATGTAGCACATTGATAGTTAAAAATGAATAGCACTTCATTGTTCATTCTAATACATTTAACCATTGTTTTTTCGTTGCTGATAGTTGTTTCAGTACTTCATTGTTTTAGTTCAGTCTAATAGTGGCACCAACAGACTTCAGAAATTCTTCCATTGTTTTTTCGTTGTTGATGTAGTCAGTACACAGTTGCTTCAGTCTCTTCTGAAGTGTCACAGTCGCCATCCTCATCCTCTTTCGGCGATCATGACCAATCATTTCAAGAAAGCCACGGTTCCATGCCTTAAGCTGTTGTTGGTACGGTGGCGATCTTCAACAGGAGTTGAAGTTGAAGTAAGCTACCAAGTCTTGAAGTTCATCGGGGCACTTCAGTGCAATTAACATGATTAATGTTTGATCTCTTTTATAAACAACACATCATGAGCAGGGTATTAAGATTGGGTGAGTATAAAATTTATATTGTGGGTAAAGTTCCTCCCCTGTAAAATTGTTGTGGGCAAACCTCCTGTGAGGAAAGTTCCTTGTGGGCAAAGTCCGTACACCGTTCAATCAAGGTAGAAATCAACATTTGAGGGACATCTGAGCTTTGCATAAACATGCCATTATGGTCTGTGCCAGTATACCAGATATGCAGAATTCTTTGGGCTCAATTCTTTATACAGGTGGCCCACAACAACAGTTTTCAGGTCACAACAGAGTAATTGTTTTCAAAAGTAGGTTTGCGATGAAAATAATATTTCTACAAACAAATATGACGAGTCTGCTTCGCTTGACCTACTGTCGAATTCTTGTTTTCAAACACTGTCATTTTCCCAGTCTATTGACTACACTGAATTTTGAGGATGCCATTTTGAACATTTCAATATTCAGGAAACGGCTAGTGGCTTCACAAACTACTACATATATAGTTCATATGTAAACATAAATATGCCCAGAGTGGAGAAATAGGAAGCCCAGTTCACATCTTGACTTGTTCCAAACAACGTTGCCTGTCGTTGATTATGGGTAACATAGCAACTTTCGTCGTTTAGAAACTACCCAATAAAAATGTCCCATTATCATAATCGATATCTTTTCATCAATAAAGGACTTACCATTATGTATCGATGGATTGGTGGCGTACAAAGTTTGTTGTTCATAACATTGGCGCCAATATCCTCCATTCATGGATGACCTTTGACCCACTTTGTTTTCGTATTTTTTGCAAGGTTAAATTAATTGAGACGGTGACATAAATTAATTAATAGATTGTATGTTGAAAATATCTTATCATATATGGATATATTTTCGAAAAAGACGGGAACCCACAAGGACTGTGCAATAAAAGGTATAGTTTCGCATTGAGTAATAAGGGAGATAACTCGTCCTGACCTAACCATCAAACAGGTGCGCGCAATACAGATTTAAATACCACGATGCCTCACTTTGATTCAGCAATTACGAAAAATTATATTTGCATTTTATATTGCCAAGTGAATCCTACAACGCATATTGCTGTCAGCTGATAGATAAGAAATGATTTTATCTGCAGATTTTCTGAATGAAAGGAATTCAGTATATAAAATCAAATTTGCTTGAGAGGTGAGGTGAAATTGGGTTTAACGTCGTGCTTGAGAATATTTCGCTCATATGCCGACGTGCATGCGTGTGTATGTGTATGTGCGGCTGCTTGTACTAGCCCAGACTGAAGCTGGGTTTATAGTGCGAGCCCACTGAGATACCATGCCACAGTGAAGCATGAATACCCCACTCAGACACATTATACTGACTCCGAGCCGACCGGTCCTTGTTGTACCCATTAATGCCGAGCGCCAGGCAGGGACCAACGTCTTTTGGTATGACGCGGTCGGGGATCGAACCCGCGACCTTCCCCTCTCCGGGCGGACGCTCTAACCACTACACCAAGGAGGCGGTCAATTTGCTTCAGAGTGGTGATGATGACTCAACAAAGTCAGCGAGCCTGACCACCGATCCTGTTACTGGTAGTCCCCTCTTGCGACAAGCATGGGTTACTGAAGATCAATTCTAACCCGGATCTTCACTGGTCAGTAGGTCCACTTGCACAAAGTGATCTTAGCGCTACAATGATTGTAACTCCCATTCTCCAACATAGGCTTAAGATAGTCTAAGCGCTAAGATCGCTTTGTGCAAGTGGGCCCTGTTCGAGATATTGGGGTTTAAAGGTCAGCGAGTCTACACATGAGTAGAACGCATTGAATTACCGAATACTGATTCGGCCTACCTTCGTAGGATGGGTTGTGGACATCTTGGCAACTGGAGATTTACGGGTGTTTCAAGCTTATGCAGGTTTCTCAGTCACATATATTTCCTTCCGATTAAATAATGTATTTGTACATATATCTTGAACGCGACGTGAAGTCAACTCATCCTTACATCAGCTCATCTAAGCTTACCTCTTTATCTCACCGTGCATCGTACCACATTACATCACTTTTTGTTAAATAGAAAATAATAATTTAAGTCAAGCTAACGCTGACATGAAATGAGTCCGTAACCCCCACCCCCACCCCAACAACAAAAACAAACAAAACCAAAACAAAACAAACAATCAAAAAACCTCGCCAAGACACAGAGTTTTTTATGAAGGAAATTAGACTATTTTTACTCTTAAAATACGACAGAAAATTGATAATTTATCTGTTAAAATTCTTTTGTGCCAAATATGCAAAGAGTTATTTATACTAAAAAAGATTTATCGAAAATGAACCTGATTGACAATGATTTGTGTAGTTTTTGCAATGATGTTTCTAAAAATTCTGAGCATTTGTTATTATACGATATTTATATATAGCGCACATATCCAGGCAACTAGTGCTTGCTCAAGGCGCTGTTATTTTTTCCCTCGATCATTGGATGTCAATCTCAACGGCACATTGTGTTATCAATCTCAACTCCCTGGGGAGTGTGTCATGTTTATTGGGAATGTTGTGAAAGCATGAAATTCTGGAATGATCTACAACTCTGGATTAATAACTATTTTCCACGGAAAATAAACATTACAAAATAATTGATTTGGTTTGGTACATTGCATAATGATGTATTACTAAATCAAGTCATTATCTCTGCCAAAAAAACATATCAATTTATGTAATATATAGAAATCAATTCCAAATTCATTAATTATAAAAAGGTATTAAAAGAGATATTTTCTGTAGAAAAATCTATTTCAAAGAGAAATAATGAAATTGAAAAATTCAGTTATAAACTGAGGGGCAAAAGAAACGTCCCCGATCATTTTTGTATCATAAAATGATACAAACACGTGCAATTCAATGTTGAAATGTTTGATATAATTTTTGAACATATTATGCAGACTGTCATTACAGAACAATTGAAACAATTTGCTGTAAGAAGAGTTTTTGTGACGTTTTTCACAGGAGGTTCAAATGTCCGGTGTTCGATCATGACAACACATGCACATCAGTACTGACAGAGTGTCTTTGAGTGTCCAACTCCTCAGTAGCGAGTGTCCACCTCTTGCAGCGATACATGCTGCCACACGACGTCGTGCAGAGTGCACACAAGACGTCTGATCACGTGATGTGGGATGCGACGCCATTCTTCCTGTAGAGCTTGAGCCAAAGCGTTTCTTGTCACCTGTGGGGATGTTGACGTTGCTTAACCTGACGGCCGAGATGATCCCATAGGTGCTCAATAGGTGATAAATCGGGGGGATCTTGCTGGCCAAGGAATGACGTTTACGTTGTTGTTCAGGAAGTTCCGGGTAACAACAGCAGTGTGGGGAGTAGCGTTATCCTGCTGAAACAACACGCCTCGATTCTGCTGGAGGAAGGGTAACACGACAGGTCGTAAAACAACATCAATGTATCGACGGGCATTCAGGTTTCCCTCTATCACCAACAAGTCAGTCTTCCTCTCGCCACAAATTACCCCCCACACCATCACACTATCGCCGCCAAACGTCTCAACTTCCTGAACGCAACAACGTGCTGTGCGTTCGTTCCGACGTCTGTAGACTCGTACCCGACCATCAGCTTTGTTCAACTGGGAAGCGGCTCGTCACTGAAGAGTACCCGGCGCCAGTTCCGCGGCTGCCACTGCCGAACTCTACGTGCCCAAGCCAATCGACGACGTCGATGTTCACGCGTTAACGTCACGCCCCGGAATGGTCTGTAGGCTCTGATACCGAATCGGCGGAGTCGTCTGGATATGGATCCTTCTACTGACTGGATGGGTAAGGCTGGTTGTTGCTGATGACGTCACAGTCAGGAATCTGTTGCGCAAAGTGAAGCACCCGTAAATGGCGGTCTTCCTGAGGGGTGGTTACGGGTGGTCTCCCTGTCCTAGGCCTGTCTGCAGTCCGACCTGTTGTTCTGAAGCGTGTCATCAGTCTGGTGATGGTTTTCTTGCTTGCAACCCATGATTCTTGCAACGTGACTGTGAGAAGCACCCAGCTGCAACATCCCAATAGCTCGTTCTCTGTTCTGCCGTGAGTCGAGGCATGTTCTTTGTGTCCAACGTATTGAAGTGATGAATTCGAACAGTCGAGCATAATTTTTATACTGTACTTTCATACGGGTATGTTTCCACAGAAGCATGCAAAAAACGTGAATAAAAGCAATTTTCATGCTTACAAAAAACTCCACGTGGATTTCCTTTCTGTGAGACGTGGGGATGCGTTCGGGAGATATGTTCCTAAATAAATTTCCGTCATAACGAAAACAGAAGAAATGTTTTTTACAATTTTACTTTGGGGACGTTTCTTTTGCCCCTCAGTTATAAATGGAATTCACTCATCCCAATATTCAGCAAATAATTATTATTACACCGTTACAGCAATGTATCTTCAACTTTTCTGTGTCTGTTGCTACCGTATACCTTTGTTGTTGACTTTGTAACCATGGGAACACATAATAATTAAGATAATAAATATGTATCAGTGATTCATGCTATCAACCACTGGTTTGTCTGGTTATATTTTGAATAATTACAGGCTGTCATGATATTCTTTCAAGCCCTTCCCTTTTTTTCAAAAGTTGGTCTTATTAGGTTTCAAATTCTTTCTATCTGACAGGTAAACTATCCTCGAATCAGAGATTAATACATTTGCTATTTGATATGTTCATTATGGGACTTGGTGTACATGTGGCCCAGACTTCAAAGACACAAGAAATCGCTGTGCAAGTCTCTTGGACATGACAGCAACCTGATCGTGTGCTGGGATCCCGGTTTGCCCTGCTTATGAGTTTGGGGTTGAGAGATCGAAGGTTTCACCAGCTGGTGGATAAACACCCGCATCAAGCCGATACGTCTTGATATAACTGAAATACTGATCCAACCGGCCTTACACCTAACTACCGACCCGTGAAGATCCTGGTTAGAATTGATCTTCAATAACCCATACTTGTCTAAGGGGCGACTAACGGGATGGGGTGGTCAGACTCACTGACTTGGTTGACACATGTAATCGCATCCTAATTACGTAGATCGATGCTCATGCTGTTGATCACTGGGTTGTCTGGTCTAAGCTCTATTATTTACGGACCGCCGCCATATAGCTGTACAGTAATATTGCTGAGTGAGGCGTAAAACAAAACTCACTCACTCACTTCACCTAACTACCTCACTCCCTCAGGGGGGAGACGTCATTGATATCATCGTGAACGGAGGACGTGGTCTTGGACACAACTAATCTGTTAAACCCCATTTCAGCTCCTCTTTTAGCTTTGAAGTATATTCAGATTTGACTTTAACCTAAACTGGACATAACATAGACAGACAGACAGATTTATTTCAGTAAAAGGCCGAAGGCTCAAATAAAGTCTTTACAGAATGTTTTGACCTATGTGCGAAGTAATAATGCAGTATTTATCTTTTTCCTTAATCTTTCGACTTTCTTCAGATAATGACGTACGTTATAAATGAGTACTAGAATCTATACTTTACTAAGAAAGTGTAATCCCAAATATAACATACGTTACATTTGACCACTTTCTAAAATGGCATTGTGTTTTTCATAGTTTTCAGCCGTGGGAGCCGTGTCAATTAACACTTATCAGAGGGGTACACAAAGTCCGCAGTCTAGACTACCAGTTGTCCGACTTCATTTCTGTGGAAGCCGCGGTGGCTGAGCGGTCTAGGCGTCTGACTTTGTGTGCTGGCGATTAGGTGCC